ACATCAAAGAAGGACCATCGAAAATTTTATCAAAACTTCAAACATTGTTTTCTCAAAAACTAAAAGTTATTTTTGAAAACGGGTTCGGTCATTCGAAAGAGGACACTTTTATTAACACTTTGGGAAATTTTCATACTTATATTCTGAGAAATGGATATTATACGAAATTTTTAAACTTAATCGGCGAAAATTGCAAAATTCGAAAAAATTATCGATTATTTCAACAACGTATTTCTCAAGAACTAAAAGTGATTTTTCAAAACGGCTTTTTGCATTAAGAAGAGGATACTTTAATTAATAATCAAAAGTGATAATAGCGACTGTTGAGAGAAGGAAACTAGACGAAACTGCAACAAGAGACTTTATATATCGTATTGGGATTGTTACAATGAGGTTGCCAAAGGCAAACCTGATATAAATAAAGTTGTATTCAATGAAAAAAGTCCTATTGGGGTTGAATTTGATTGTTATCTGCAGTATCCAACACCTAAAAGAGATACTAATTCCTGTGAAGTCCACTAGTTTTTGGGTTAACTTCAAAAATGCATAAAAAATTGAGTTTGTGTAAAATCGTTCAGAAATCTTGATAATTTATAAAAAAAGAGCATTCTCTTTTTGCTGATGAAATCCTGTTTTGAAAATATCATATAATAATGTTCAAACTCAATCGAAATTTTTGCATCTTTTAAAGTTTTTGGGTTATCTTTAAAAATTCATACAAAATCGAGTTTGTTTTAAATCGTTTTGAAATCTCGATGATTTATAAAGAACAGCATCCGTTTTTTGCTGGTGACACCCCTTTTTGAAAATATCATTTAGTTCATGAGATAACAATAAATCAACTCAACCTAAATTTTTCCCATGTTTTAAGGTTTTTGGGTTAACTTCAAAAATGCATAAAAAATTGAGTTTGTGTAAAATTGTTCAAAAATCTTGATAATTTATAAAAAAAAACATTCTTTTTTGCAAATATCATTTAATTCATAAAATAATAATATTTAAATAAAACATTTTAAACGATTTTTAAAAGTGACTTAAAATTTTGTCTTTTTATATAAAATCTTGCAACAATTACGTCCAAAAAAGAAAATGCCATCCCCTTTTTGTAACATTCATAAAACGTAGACCAAAAATAGTATCTAAAAACACCTACCACATCTCCTGTAGATTTTTTGCTTTGAAATAAACGTAATAAAGCAAAAAAAGCACAACCTGAAACGAGGAGCGTCATAGAATCGATGTTAATTTAATAATGGTCATAACCGCGACATCAGCTTTGCCCCCATTTTCCGACGGTGGAGGGCTAAATTCGGAGTCGACAATTTCAGTTCTTAACAATTTTTCGACCGTTAATCACGAAATCGAACGAAATAAAACTGGGAAAAAAGTATTCGTATTAATTAAGAAGCGGGGGATTCAACGAACGCGGTTAGTGTTTAAAGATTTCTCTTTTTTTATGTTTCAAGGGGGCGAAACGAACCGAGGAACACAAATAAACCTTACAATCTTGTTATGAGTGAGTCGAAATTTGATTTTACGCGTCCCCTTTGCGATGATAACAACTGCCGAAATAAATTTTCGTAAACCTCCCTTTTGTACTGGGTAACGTGGAAAAGTAGTCTCTATATATTTTATCCACTTTTTCCACGATTTCCCAAATGTATCAATTTTAATAATCCTATTATATATACGTAGTGATATTTTGTTTCAATTTGAAGTTGGAATACAAAATAAACTTGGTTATAATCGTAAAGTAGTTACAAAAAGTAGTAAAATAACCTGAAGGGTCGAGCGTCTATTAAGGTAATGACTTTTCATTAGAGTTTTCGGAATCCGGGAAGGAGAGTGGAAAACGTTAAAACGGTACAGTAAGAAGCAACGGTAATTAATTAATTAAACGGTTGGAAGCGGAGAGAAGGAACCTCCCCTTAAGTAATTAAATAGGCGCGGAAAGAAAATTTCGCGAAATGGGAAGGGTTGGACGTCTTCTTTAAAAATTGCCCCAGGTAAAACAAACGTCCTCTGAGAATTATTAGCGCCGACAATAGCCGTATTTAAGGGTCGGAAAGTGTCCGGAGGGCGAAAATTCCCTCGAGGTAATAAAGATACGAGGATATAGCTGGTAGATTAATTTAATTCCATTACTTAAATGAGGATACAAAATAGGCAGTACGGGTCCAAATAAAGTGGATGGCAGTGCTTTTATATCCTCCGGTCGAATATGCACGTTGTCGAGGTTTAAACGGCGACCCCGGAATCCGAAAACGGAATATTGGTGGCGGGTGGAAGTGTGAAGGGATGCGAACATTCCGCCGCCGACGGAATGTTGTGCCCAATTGGGTTTTAACGGGGCGTGTTGGTAATTGCTCGAATCGATAAAACGTTTTTGCAGTGATTGGAAGTGCGAATACGCTCAACTTTTATACCCCCTCAATAACACTCCCACCCCGTTCGCTTACCCACTTCATTCGATTTAACCAAAACTTTATTTTATATATTGATCACAAACCGAAACAGAACTTTTACAAAACATCCTACAAAAATTACTAATCCATTAAAATCTCCTCATTTGCAATTGAAATCTCCAAATTTATTTTTCCTAATTTCCTAATTAAGTTCATTTTTTACATTATAAAATTCAATACAACGCGATGCTTTTATTTTAATGGCACGTAACTGGGTTTATGGCTGATAATAATGGTGCATAATTAATGGCACATAACTGTAAAACTGCATCGAGCAATTTAACCGTTTTCTCGAATTCAATGTTAATTATGACAGTTTTAAACATCGTAAACCTATTGCATTTGCTAATATAAATCTATACAAATTTAATCTACTTTATATCGTTCTGACAGAGAATCAAAACAAAAAAACATAGTGCAGAAGTTTTTGTCAACGTCATTCACATACTTTTTGATGTATCTCTTTTCATGTGGAACTTGCAGCTATAAGAATCACATCAAGTAGTAAACCTTGATTAACGCAGTAATTATGCTGTAGTCAATGCGTTAAAGTCATAAATACACAAAGCATTTATTCGAGTGGAGTAAGCTTTATTCTTTGAAGTCAAATCTAGTTATCTCGAGAATGAAATTGTCTTGATGTAAACTTATCAAGTGAGGAAGGATAATGAAGATTTATGTAGACTTGATGCAAATGTTACGAAACCTTAAGGAGTCTTAATGCACTGTTATATGCAGTTTTGATGGAGACTTGAAAACAACACGGTGAAAATTTTATGTAGAGATGATACACAGAGTTGTTTCTATGCAAACTTGATGGAGACTCGATGATAAAGATTTAAAGTAGGTGTAGTGGGGGATATACGAGATCGCTGCAAACTTCATCGGGTTGATGCAGATTTAGCTTAGTANGGACTTGTTGGTGCTGGTGATGATGAGAGCTGGTTGGGTGGAGGATCTCCGGGAAAGAGATGCGCTGGTTTATTCGATGAGAGCTGCATCAACGGTGGACTTGTTGGTGCTGGTGATGATGAGAGCTGGTTGGGTGGAGGATCTCCGGGAAAAAGAAGTGGACACACTAACTCGAAATACATGAAAAATTGGTTAAAGAAACTTTACCTTCAAGCTTAATTAAAAAAGTTTTAATTCCTGCTTATTTGATTTGTTTTATTTAAAATAAAATTTGATTGTCGTGTAATTTTTTGTTTCATTTAAAATGTTTAAAGTCGATTTGTATTGATTAGATAGTTTAATAGTGAAAGAAAGCTAAACGGGATGGGATTTAGTAGATAAAGTAGATTTATATTAGGCAGACATTGCTTCACGGTTCGAAACGCTGTCACCCTTGTTTGTATTGCCAGAGTACAAGCCACTAACACGATTACGTCCAATCAGTAAAGGGAAGAGGATCTAATTGCCAATGACAGCACCGACTTGATTCGCATCAAATCAATGCTGGCAGACGGGCGTCGTGACGCCAGAAAAACGCCCCACACATAAATAAAAATTTATTTATACACAAAGTTCGTAGCTTTATCATAGTTTTCGTTTTTCGGGTCCGGCTCATTATTTACACGTAATAATTTTTTTCTTTTCCCAATAAACACCGACACCGATACCTACACTTCTATACTATACAATAATACAATTTGCTCGTATTTAGTGACACTATTTAGGTTGCCGCCTATTTAAAAATATGTATAACTTAAAATATATCGAATGATTTTTACGTCGTCTTCTCCCTGGATGACAGTCCTAATGCTTCCGCGTGTTTCCTTGCTTTTAACCTCAAATCTGCTATGCTTGAATTTTTATGTGCCGCTGCCAACGCGGCGAAACCAATCGGATATTGTGGATGACATAATATACTTGCTGCCGAATTATTTCCTACCGATACGGCAGCAGCGTACTGAAAAATGGGAATAAAAGAATGTATTAATTAATTACATAGCTCTACAACAAAAAATTTTTTCTTGTTGCCCTGGATATTTAATATAAGATTACGAATATATTCATGAAAGTACTGAATGTGCTCTTGTTTTTTTATGATTTTTACATATCTTATATTTTAAACAATTATCGGCTTGTTAGTAATAAAATTTATTTTCCCAGTCATGATTAGGCTTCTGCGCAACTTTCTCGCGCAGTTTATCCCCACTCTCAGACCCTTTGCTCCGCAGAACAGCTGAGATCTCAGTTATTTGAATATTGAAGTACTTACACGTGAATCTGGATAAGTTGTCATGTTTTAATATTTTGTTTCAATTACTTAATGTTTAATATATTTGTCTTGTCTTTTAAAACATGAGTTCGTCACGAAGAATGATAAAGCAATTTGTAAAAGCGTTGGACTAGGAAGGAGATTGATTTAATTACATTTGTAGAAAATTTCCGAAGCTTAGTATGGAAAAGTTGAAATGTGGAATATTTGATGGTCCCCAAATACGAAATTGATGAAAGACACAGATTTTATTAAAGTTATGACTGTTGGTGTTATAAGTCGAAAATTTCATAAAGCACCAAATTATGAAGAAATTGTACAAAATATAGACTCTAGGAGCAAATAAGAGTATCAAGTTACACTATCTTCGCAATCATCTGGATAAATTTTCGGATAATTTAGGAAATTATAGTCAGGAACAGGGAGAGCGGTTCAAAAACTGACATTATAAATATATCTGTTATTTTGTTTCTTGTTTTCGGATTTTTGTAATGTGTAAAAACGAGAGCAAATCTTACAAAATCATTGATAGTTTCATGAATTGTCAAAATCAATCTTATATCTAAGGCAACAAAACCACTGTAGACCAGTGTTAATATTGTATAACATTTATTTTTATTTTTTACCTGATGTGCTGCAGAAATAAAGGCGGAATCAAATGCAGAAAAAGCTGTACTATGTTGTGGGAAACTTCCAAGTGTAAGTCTGTCGTACGTCGATAAAGCGACCGCCCCGGGTGGTAATGAGAGGCCCCTTAAAGCAGGAACGTTCATGTACGGTACGACTCTGCACGGTTCCAGAGGCGTGCTGGAAGGAGGACTGTGATTGTTGAGCATCATTCCTGGAAAGAGCAAGAAACGGGGTTCATATTATACGTATTATTATAACGTCGGGCCGTAACGTGTCGAGCGGGCGACTTAAACTCGATTTAGAGCAGTTTGCAAATGTAATTTGGTCAGAAGCGACGCGAGGGTGTGGCGTCGGTCCCGGCGTCGGTCTCGGCGTGAAGGCACTAACTATAATTTAGAGGTCCCAGGGGCCCGGAAGGCCTCGTAGGTTCGCCGACGCATTTGAATGACTGAGCGCTGCAAAATTGCCCCCGTGGGGAATTATTTGATGTGATTGAAAACTTTTTCTCCGGCCGGTTTATTTTACTCGAGATTATTCGCAGTCCTCGCGAGAGAGGACGTCGTGAACGCAAGCGCACTTTCCGCTTCTAAACCAAATTGATCCTTCCGTCTTCTCGTCGTTACTGCCACTCAAATCTAACCTACCTGAAGATGTGTTTAAGTTAAAGCTCTCCATTTCCACCCTCTCTAACTTCCCGTCAATTAATGATCCGTGAATGATGCATTTACGTCGATTAGAAATCTCTCAGGAATGAAATAATGGGATTCGTTTCTTTCTTAAATAATAACTATGAAAGGTTGTTGGGTATAATTTAAAAGTACCCGAACGTTTCGAAACGATTTCGTAAATTCGTAAACCGATACGCTCCCTAAAACCACTTACCCTTTTGCATTTGACTCTCGTGTTTCCGGCATTTCGCGCGCCTGTTCTGGAACCAAACCTATGGGAGAGAATAAAGATTTATTATTAACGGAAATATGTCGCCTATAAATTGACCGGATAGATCGCGGAAGGAGACGCTTTAGGGTGGTCATAAAATAACGTCGGCCCAGAGTGGAAAAAGTGGAAATTCAATTATGGCCGGGGGGAGGCGACCGGACAAAGGCGATCTCCTCTGCGAATCTTTAAATCAAGCTAAGTGTCGTGTTTTTCCACGGTTCCGACCGATTGAGCACAGAACGTTGTGGCTATTACGCAGATAATTTCCTAATGAAAACGAACGACGTGCAGGGAATAGGATCTATTAGGAGCCTGATTAATGACATCACCCCATTGATCGATTTGAATTGCCCGATGCTTAACACCCTGTAGAAACGGTTTCGTTAAGGGTGAAGTCCTAATATCCTCTACTCCTCCTATCTAATACTATGGAAATTATTCTGATTTAATGCAATTCCGATGCTATTATTTTTAAATCAAGACATAAATGTTTATTTAATTACTTTATTTTTATCGGCCACAAATCTTTCAAAAACTTATTTCAACTTTTAATTAATAGACATTTATTTGAAATAAATGAGTTCACGTTTAGAGAAGGCTTAATGAAACAGTTCTAAACGAAACAATTACTAGTTAATTTGAAACACGTTCGAAAATTCCTATATTAATCTTGACGAAAATTAATCTAGCACCTACCTGAACTCTCGCTTCACTTAAACCCAACCTTTGGCTTAACTCCTCCCTCATGAAAGCGTCGGGATAATGCGTCTCGTCGAAGAGCCTCTCAAGTTCGTTAAGTTGCTCCAAAGTGAAATTGGTTCTCGATCGTCGTTGTTTCGTCGAAGACTTCACCGAAACCGTCAGCTGCGAATGTTTATCTTTTTGTAAGACATCTCGATCCACGTTGGACGTCGCGACGTCCGCTACGCCCGTCGGCAACAACCCCGCGCCGTCCGGCATTTTCTCCTTTTGTCCGCCGGTTACGTCACCAAACGAGGCTGCAATATTTGCTGGTGATGATAATTGCATTAAATCCCGATGTAATCGAGTTAAAACGATTTGTAGATCTCGATGCAAATCAGAGTTGCACCCCACCGACACAAGGGAAACCCCCATCGGCCTGCGGATTGGGGTGGAAAAGATTTCGTATGTCGGCGGGTTTAACAAATAGAGATCTCTAATTTAATTTAATTGAAACCCGCTTTAAACATCCGCACGTTACTTTCAATTGATTTATATCTTAATCAAAACGAAATACAAAAAATACTTCAAGTAAAATATAGTATATATACACTGTGTGTTAATTAATTATCGTACCCGACGTCATCATTGCAAGTATGCAACCAATATCACAGTATTTTTATGCTTTACGCGATTTGTGTATTGCAATACCAATATTGTGATATTGGTTGTATACTTGCAATGATGACGTCGGGTACGATAAATAATTAACACACTGTATATATATAGTTTTGAAAATAGATTTGATGTGCTAGAGCAGCAATGGATTATAGTACGACCTAACTTAAATTAACTTTGGACATTCATAAAAAATCGAATTTGTGTGAAACCGTTCTGAAATCTTGATGATTTATAAAGAAAAGCATTCTCTTTTTGCTGGTGAATCCCTTTTTGAGAATATCATTTAGTTTATGAGATAATAATATTAAAAGCTCAATCGAAATTTTTCACATCTTTTAAGGATTTTAGTAGTGATGGAACGGGTAGTGATTTTGCGAAAAGCCGGATACCGCATATTCGGCATCCCCTTCGGCCGGATATCCACAAGGATCCCTCAAGAAATTAATTTTATAGCAAATTTTGAAAATGATTCATGAAAATTGCAACATCGCAAATTTTATCAAAACTTCAAACATTGTTTTCTCAAAAACTAAAAGTTATTTTTCAAAACGGGTTCGGTCATTCGAAAGAGGACACTTTTATTAACACTTTGGGAAATTTTCATACGTATATTCTAAGAAATGGATATTATACGAATTTTTTAAACATAATCGGCAAAAATTCGAAAAAATTATCAATTATTTCAACAATGTATTTCTCAAGAACTAAAAGTGATTTTTCAAAACTTCTTTTTGCATTAAAAAGAGGATACTTTACTTAATAATTGATGATACTTCCACAAGGATCCTTCAGGAAATTAATTTTATAGCAAATTTTGAAAATTATCGATGACAATTGCAACATCGAAAATTTTATCAAAACTTCAAACATTGTTTTCTCAAAAACTAAAAGTTATTTTTGAAAACGGGTTCGGTCATTCGAAAGAGGACACTTTTATTAACNGAAAACAACACGGTGAAAATTTTATGTAGAGATGATACACAGAGTTGTTTCTATGCAAACTTGATGGAGACTCGATGATAAAGATTTAAAGTAGGTGTAGTGGGGGATATACGAGATCGCTGCAAACTTCATCGGGTTGATGCAGATTTAGCTTAGTAAAAAAATTTATAATTTTATTTATACCCAATAAATTAAGATAGATTTTTTTAATATGAATGCATCAAGTCGTAGTGGAGAAGTTCTTATCAACGATTATAGTTAAAGTCATAAATACACATTCATTAAAAATTCATTTGAGTCTGCATAAGTAAAAATCCAGCGTTCTGACCACAAGGTTTTTATTTCTAAATGATACATAATTGTACTGCACTTCAATAAATAGGAGGGAGCATGTAGGATGAAGTGTTTCTATCTTTTAGTTCATACAAAGCATTTATTCGAGTGAAGTAAGCTTTATTCCTTGAAGTCAAATCTAGTTATCTCGAGAATGAAATTGTCTTGATGTTACCTTATCAAGTGAGGAAGGATAATGAAGATTTATGTAGACTTGATGCAGACGTTACGAAACTTTAAGGAGTCTTAATACACTGTTATATGCAGTTTTGATGGAGACTTGAAAACAACACGGTGAAAATTTTATGTAGAGATGATACACAGAGTTGTTTCTATGCAAACTTGATGGAGACTCGATGATAAAGATTTAAAGTAGGTGTAGTGGGGGATATACGAGATCGCTGCAAACTTCATCGGGTTGATGCAGATTTAATAAGGATTGTGTCGCAAAATGTTTGCAATTTGAAGCACTCCTAGATGCAGATTGAGAAACTCTGTGCAGATTTTGCTTAGTAAAAAAATTTTTAATTTTATTTATACCCAGTAATTTAAGATAGATTTTTTTAATATGAATACATCAACTAAAAATTAATAATAAGTGTGTGTCCAAATCTGAAGGGGAGGGAAGCAATAGGTGGTAAAACAGTGTTTCAAATATTTATTAAGGGCAAGTTAGAACTAAGATAGAGAGGGGGTCCAACTAATTAGAGTTTTCTCCTTACAAGAAGATAACATTTGTTGTAGAATTTGCAAAAAGGAACTTAAAATTTGTTTATGTTGTATACATATCATATAATTTATATATATTATTATTCTTGTAAATATATTCAGTATATTTTATATATTTATAAAAATGTTGATTTGATATATAAAAATAATTTTGTTGTTTTAGGTCTTTGACATTAGCTTTCTAATCAAATTTTTAAGATTATTCGTTGTTTATTTACAATCGAATAATAATCGAATAATAATAATCGCTTTATGTATATAATTACTGTATAGACGGAATAAAGAATAATCGATTGAAGTTAAACAAAGACTATTACTGAGGTTATGTTAAGTTTATATGTATAGTCTATATATTAATTAATATTTAAAATCTTTTCGTAATGAATACCTGATCGAGATTTTTTTGACTCATCAATTGAAGTTCTTTCGTCGGTAATACTAGTATTTTCGGGTGATTTACATTCTTCAACGTCCAAATCGATAGGAGATGAAGATAATCTGGATTTTGGAGAGTCGGATTTTTCGTCGAGAAATAAACAGGGACTTGGATTATTATTTTTTTTCGCGTTTATACTAAGATCTATGCCGCAGATGGGATTTGAAGGTTTCGACGGATAATGATCGGAAATGAGCCAATTCTTGGCAGACGGTTTTGAATTTTTCTCGTCGTCCAAATCGTCCTGTTGCTTATGATGATAGTGTCCATCTTGGTAAATCGTTGTGGTCATCATTTCCAAATTTTGTTGCGTATGTCCATCATCCGATTTTTGTTCCTCTTTTATTTCCACCGCACTCGCGACGCTTTCATTAAAAGATTTCGACACGAACTGCGTTAATTTATCCATTTCTACTTTAATCGCTTACCACTAAAACTACTGTTTAACACCAAACTGGGCCTCCGCTAATGCGGCAATCACAGTATAAAATGTTTAGAGACATGTAACTGATCACTGCGTTTCCATGGACACCAGAATGGACCATCCTCTTTCCATTGGATTTTCCCCCCTCAAAACCACGCCCATGAAAATTACTATCAGCCATCTCGTTGGCTCAAACTAGGGGTAGAAGGCGTTGCCAAAACAACATTATGGGGTGCATACGCTGTGAAACATTTTATTTATAGCTGTCGGATAATTCAACAGCTTAAATCTAAGTGGCTAACATTTTTTTCCTGAACGCTTTTTTTTCTTCTGTTTGCAAAACCTTGTGTCGTAATTATGTAGATTTACGATAATGTTATTCTTTCGTGAATTACTGCTCTTTAGTAGAAAAGAAGTTGCATTATTAATGATGTTGTAGAGTTTTTTTTTGAATAACAAAAAACATTCTTTTTGATTAATATTTGTATTCAACTATGTTTTATGTAATCAAAAAAGTCTTATTTAAAAAAATAAAAGATGTGTATATTAATTTTTGAATTAACATTCGTTTTTGCAAAATCAAAAAATAAATTTATAAAGAACACACTTAACATTTGTAATATATATTATATATTAACTAATATGTATTGAACAAATTTTATTTTATTAATACTTTTATACTATTACTTTACATTGAAGTGTATAATATAAACGAGGGTTGTATTGATTTTATGAGGTGAAGCGACACCACTGCCCCCCTGTGACGAATTAAGCAACTTCATGGTTACAGTTTGATTTAAAATTGAGATTTCTTTTTATTTTTAACGTATTTTATACATATGTATATACAAAAAAAATTATTTATAAATTATTTTCTTTAATTCCTTCTTAATCAGTATCAAAAAATCACCCGTTTAAAATATGACGTATATTGCTCCTCCATCACATAGAATTGTTCCTTGAATTTACCTCATCAATGTTTTTGGTTAATGCTTAATCGAAATATTTACCTTAGTTCTTGAATTAAAAATCTTTTTTTTGTCAATCCTGGAACTGAAGTAATACTCGTCTAATTTCCACCTTAAATAATTGTTATTATTAATAATTTTCACCTTATTTGTTTTTGTAGTTTTCTTATAATTCTTATTGTTTTCTGTTTTAAAATATGGTTTATTTTTTTCTTCTTTGCGCTTTTCTGAGTGTGGGTACTTTACCTTTAAAAAAAATTAATGATAAAGAGTAGTTGGGGTAAATTTAATTTATTTTTATTACTTTAGATTTTGAATGAACGTTTTTTTCTGGTTTAGGATAATAAGAATTTTGTCTATGCTCTTTACCGTCATTTCTTTCTTTCGATTTTTTCATTTTTTTATCTTTATCTTTGATATTTTCGTATTTAAATTTTTTATCGCCTTTTATTTCTTTATTTTTATTGTTATATTTACATTTTTTAACTTTGTCAGATTTCTTTTCTTCCTTTAAGATCCTCTTTTGCTTATTCCCCTTTGATTTATCTTTAACTTTGACATCTTTTATTTTATTTTCTTTGAAGTTGCTAGGATTTGAGGATTTTGTTATCACATCTATTTCTTTTATCACCTTTTCTTTCTTATTAACTTTTAATTTCTCTTTTTTTACATCTTTCATCACAACTTCTACTTCTTTTATGTCAGATTCATTTAAATCATTATTTGCAACTTCAAATTTTGGCTCAATATTGATGTTAATTAATTCTTGCCCAATTTTATCAACATCATTGTCTAAATAATCGTTATTATTATATTCAGAAACGTCGTCTAAATTATTGTTTGAATAAATCACATAATTAAGTAACATTGGTACAAATAAAGCTAGTAATAAAACTACCACAGCAAAAGTGCGAAACCTCCATGTTGAATTTATATCATCATTTACGCAATCTCTTTTATAAATGGGAGTTATTGCATCTTTTTCATCAGCAAGAACTTCCTTGGCTTCATCACTCTCACTTATAACACTTATTCCATCCGAGTCAGTTTCTAAATCATTTTTATCTACAGTATCTGTTAATTCAGTGATGGGTTCAGTTGAGCAATTAAGATAATACTTATTTTGTGGGCTATCAATGTCACAATCTTCTACAAAAACCCAAGAATTTTGGAGAGATGCTTCCTCAAGCTTGTTAATTTCCTCAACTTCACTCATTTTATTTGTTAAAGATGCATTAAAACAATCTGAAAACACATTTAAGAAATTAATACATATTTAATGTTAGATTTAAAGGGAGCTTTTAAATATTAATCAAACAGCTGTTTTACCTGCTTTCTTTAGATGAGGATAATCTAATGTCTTCTTTAAATTTTTTATTCTCCACACGAGAAATTGAACGATATTTGCTATCTTTTAAACAGTAATAACGTTATCTTACCTTACTGCGTATATTTCTATATTTATAAATATGCCTTTATGTTATTCCTACATGTCTCGAAATTCTCAACTATGCAATGTATTTGACGTGTATGTTGGGTTGCATACACTTCTTGAACTAACTCCATACTTTTTAAATAAAAACATCACCAAAACAATCATATTTTATAGAATGTGTGTTATATTTGTATATTTGATGTTATTAATATAATTTGCTTGAATGTTTCATTATTATTAAATCAAGTAGACATTTTCGATGATTTTTAATAAGAACTCGACTAAAATTCCTCAATAACTTCTATATATATATAATATAAAAATCGATAACGTCATATTCTTTCATTAACTTTATATTCTATATAAATTTTACAACACATAATCATTCTTAATAAGACCAATAAAAATTAAAAACTTAAACATCTACAAAGTTATTTCATCATTTATGACGTTCTCTATGACGTAATAAGCGGGAAATTTAAAAATACAAAAATATTCTTTAATGGCAACTGTACGAAAATGTAATACAATGTGGTGGAGTAGTTAAAATAAGGTCAAAACGATGATCAATTATGGATTTTATGGAAAATCGATGTGAAATTTCAGTATGGGTGGGGTCAGCGGAGAGCAATGCCGTCGCGACGCCAGGCGTCTGAACAGTAAGTTGTACGCCGGCGAACGAAAAGGTCGAACGCGCAGGCCACCGGAACCGCGATTTTAAATACTATTTTCGCGGTCAAAATGCGTCTGAAACAAACCGAAGTGTTCGTCGTCCTGGTTGTCGAAGTCGAGTTGTCCTGGTTGTCAAGGTGTCAGCTGTCCAAAGCTTAGAAGAAAAAAAAACAACATTAAAGAGGTCTTATGCGTACGTTGCACTTTATGTATTTACTCTTACCAACTTCCGTTTACTTGCACCATTTTTTAACTACTATTTACATATATACATGTGGCCGATACATGCATTGGACTTTCTTTCCTTTTCTCTAGTAGTTTTAGCCTGGTTTTCTTGGTAATCGAGCACAACCCGAAACAACCTACGTTAGGCCTTCTTATTGAACCTTTACCTACCAACTAGTACGTAAATACACGCCTCGTGGATGACGTTAAGTTTTGTTTAATAAGTAATGGGAGAAACGTGCAGAATCAATGTTTTGTCATGCAAAACACACGAGGTAAAATAATGTTTTGAGAATAATGGGGATGTGTTTTTTAAATATACAACCTTGAAAATGTAATGTTTTCATATGGCGTGATCGATTTTTGTCGGGTTGACCATCCCGAAACGACGCCGGAAAGTGTCGACTATTTACTGGACGTCGAATACCGACGTTGGGCCACATTCGCGCCGCGTCGACGTTTGCCATAAAAATATTAAAATATCAAATCCTGGTTTATTTTGAGGTCGTAAATTCTCACCAAATCCCGTCGCTACGCTCTCGGCGAAACTTGAATTATTCAAACGAAACATTTCTTTCTATACTTCCTAATACAAAACATTAAAGTGTTATTTTTCATTCAAGTCTATGTAAATATCTTATTTGCATTAACTACATTCCGATATAGTGCTTATTTTTGAATGTACATTTCATTGTATATGCACGCTATACATAGAAAATAACATATCAGATTTAGCACTACTAAAAACAAGACGAATTTATATACAGCAATTTATATGAACTTTAAAAAGCACGTAACTTTATATTGAATGAATTTCAGTTTGATTTACGTAGATTTTGCATATATAGCTGAGGGGATTTGGGATCGGGACTAGAATTTGATGATTTTGATAAAAGTTCAATTGGGATAACATCCAATTCTGAGTCTGATCTCCATCTCGTGCTGTCGCGAATATCGACCCGACGACCAGAAATAAACCAGGCGATCGATAACGGCCCGCGACGCGAGGACGAGAAGCTCAGGCCACAATTTTGCAGTTTTCAGTGCGACTAACCACTTAGACCGATAATGAGCAATCAAGGAGAAACGGCTAGTCTCCTGGTGGGGCCGATAATCACAAGCTCGTCGACCCCGTCGAACTGTTCGAAGCCCGTGCTCATGCGCCAAGAGTGCACCACCTTTTTGGTCTCCAACCACCATCCTCAGCTGTCCGTATTTTCGGATAGCGAGGAGGACAATTCTCTTTGTCTGGAGGAAAGCAGCGCGAGATCCGTTCCCGACATCGAACTCCACTGCAGGTTAGTCCGACATTACGATACCATCAAAGTGTATGTCGAGACTCACCAGGTAGTTTTAATTGCAGGTTGGATTTAAAAGGATGCAAACAAAGCCTAGGGTCAAATGTTCCCGGCAGGATTCGAAGCTCATCAAATGCGTTCCAAGCTGTCTCAACAAATCGCAACATTTTGGAACGATGCACGTCCCAAACACCTGTCTCAAACTATAAGGTCGTGCGATCTGTGTCAAGGGAGAGCGTTAGATCGACGCATCATTGCAACTGTAACTGTTTAAACGCGCCGGTACGCATTAGCCCTTTATAGATACTTCCGACCGGCCACGTGTGCATTCTAACAGCTCCCCTGTGTGCCCTGTCCGAAGGAGTTCATTTGCTTGCTGCTTTCGCTGTCCTCGATGTGTGTTCTAAGGCTCTTGTAAGGTCCGCAGCCGCATTTGCACAACAGTAACAACATGCGGCCTTTAACGGCGCAACATGTAAAATAACTTATTCCGAATCGCCTACCCGTAACACTGGGAATAATCGGGAATATAATCCTCAATTAAAATTAATAATATAAAAAAATAAAGTATATTCGGAGGGCGCGTTCAGATCACACATAGAATAGTAGGATTAAGCTCGATTACAACCCAATTTGCTAGCAAATAATTATTCCGATATTTAAAACCGATTCCGCTACCCAAAATCTGTTTACGCTACCCGCTTTATGTAAATTTTAATAGGAGGCAAAACAATTTCGTTGTACCAACGAGCGAGATCTTACGTTGTCGGGAGAATCAACAGACTGTAAATAGAGACTAATTTTAGTTAATTCTGATGTAGTATGAAAGTTTGTACGTGCAAGCAAGCGGCGTTCGGTTACTTAATGCCTTCAAAACCGTTGCCAGGCCGGCGGTTCGGGGCCCTGCTGTTTATCCTGCGGGTCATGGGACCTATGGATCGATACCGTTTTTTTTTTGCTGGAGTAGGTCATGTACGCCTTGCATTGTGCGATTAAAACCACGAGTGTTTTCCTTCCTTATGCGAATATAAACATTTAAAATTAATTTGATTTCAATAAAATATGAAAATGGAAGGAAAACATTTTAATCGGTTGATACATGACCACAGGAAATTGTCTTCGCAGCAGAAGGTTATTTTACATGTTCCGCTCAAGGCGGGATATGATCCAGGACAGAGTTACACTGCGTGGAGTCCAGGTTCGTGCAGGAATAATTGAAGATTTCCCCCAGGTTCTCTGCAGTTCTTGTCCCGTTGCATCGACGACTCAAACGCAGGTGCGTTCGAGAATAACCAGGCAATGTTCTCAATACGAGACCGTCTATACGGGCGCGCATCTCCACAAAGGCTTGGCCTCCAGCTCCTTGAAGCAGCTGCGAGAACAAACGGACCCGGACGCATCAGGGGACTGTATGCGTTCCAGGGGCATTTTTCGCAACTTCCGACAGGTATGCACAACCTGAACGGGCGCACCGAGGCGACGACGACGTGATCAACATTGTAGAGATCCCTATACTCGTCGTCGCCTCCCATAAAGGATTCACTTAGATAGATGAGCGCATACCTGTCGGAAGGGCACGCAAAAGGGAACAAAACACATTGATCATTCACACTAATGGAAGTGCCCGAGTAAGTCTTTAACATAAATACTAATAGAAGCAATTAATCGACTTGCTACGACGCGACCTTCGTATAGTTTTCACCTATCTCCTTTCCTTTAAACGACAATCAATGAAACGAGAGATGATTTAAAAAATGAATTCTTAAATTAATATAAATAACATCATACCCGTTACTGATGGTTGGCGTTACTATTTACCCTTCTTGACCCTAACCTTAATTGGACGCCCTTAAATACTGTGTCTTGTTAAGGACAGAGTACATATGAAGTTTGTGCGAACCGAAAAAAAGAAATGATTTAAAAATACATTTGAAGTGGTTTCTAAAACGTTTTTTTAGTATTATTTAAACATTTTCTGGTCAAATCAAAATAGTTTCTGCACAAAGCTAATTTAGTTCCCATAATGTATTGGCAACCCGATATACATTATTAATTTATTCATTATGGGTTGCTTCAACCTTCAATCGATTGACTTCCGTAGCGTGTTACAGAAATATTAATATATTAGCATGTAGGGTGGACCAAGAGTAATTGTTTCTTTTATTTATTTTTGTTCTATTCTATTTTTTATTGTGTTCTAATTATTTTATTTTGAAAAAAAATATATGTGTGTGTGTATGTGTAGTTTTCGGTTCGCACTAACAAATTTCCTAGTTCATTTCGTCAACGTCTTCACGCTTTTTCCCCTATTACTAATATCTCGAGCTTCACCGCTTACAACTTCGAATCTTCCCTTGTTTTGTTTCCGTTTCACTTCTTCTCGAACGTAAGCAATCAGAAAAAATTTTGTTTCGTTCCAGTTGTCCGGTTTTCTTTAGGACAACAACGCCGGCCAGCAGGCTTTTGTTTCGGGTTTGTGACTAAACCAACTTATATACGAATGGGTCGAAGTGTCTATACATTTATATAAATATATACATATATTATATGTACTCTAATTGTTATTATACAATACGATGTCGCAGCTTGCTTAATTGATAAGGTGTTTATTTTGAGTTTCCTTTTATTATTTGGTCTTACCTTGGATGCGTGTTTTGGGCATTGCTAGTTTACTTTATTGGATCGATATTTTGCTAAATCTGATAGTTGTTATTATAAACTACTATTGGTGTTGTTGCTGTTGCCAAAGACAATCGAGCTCGTGCAGTCCCAGTAGCTTTCGGAATGTAGCTGTACCTCTCATTTCTCTTTAGTGTTCTAGTATCCTTAGGGCCTTAGAATACTCTGAATCTGAAATAGAACGAATCTGTTTGGTGTTGGATGTCAGAGGCGACGTATCGGACGTTTACAGTAATCTACATCACCACGTTTCTTCAGGTCTCGTGCAGTTCTTGTCCCGTTGCCCAAAAGATACCCGCCTCCAGAATTATCCGCCAAAGTTCTCAGCCGGAGGCCTCAGTTCCTTGCTGTGGCATGAACTACGTACCCGGCGTCGTGCCCTCCACCTCATTGAGGCAACTCAGAGAACACGGAGAAGGAGGCATTGCTGGTATTGCGGCCGACTCGTTGCGTATCAATGGAGCTATGAAAAATTTCCGACAGGTATGACACCTTCAGAAGTCCAGACATCCAGATATCCCTCCTTTCATGTTATTAATATTATTAATATATTATACGAAAAGTTATCCTGGTATACTTCAGTTTTCAAAATCTCTGTTCTAATAAATAAGTTGTTCTAATAAATCGTTTTTTGAAATAACTAGATTTTGAACTGAAATACATGGATTATTACAATAAAATACTTGAAAATACTGTTTATTTGGTGCGATTTGTACTGTGTCGAACTCACTGTGTTTCTTTTATGTTGAATCGATGTTAAACGTGTCGCCGTTTCCTTATTTTATTTTATTTTTTTTGGTAACACCCCATCTGACCAAATTAGATGTCGTTCTATTTCTAAGCAATTTCCGTTTAGCCGTTGAGCACATCGGCGTCCGCTGGTAAGTTCGTCGATATATTAAGGTTAGATTTCGATGATACGCTTTGGGTTTGGCAGAAGGCTTTGTGGCATTTTTATTCTGTGCGTAATAACAACTATTGATTTAGAAAAAATACGTCTTATCGCTTCGAGCGTCGCGTACACGAGACGGGTCCGCCGTAGACACGTGGGCATGATGTTATGGAATGCGATCTTGGCTCTTAAAGTGCATGGCTTCAACCTGACTAACAAAGATTTTGACTCTTTTTCAGAGAAGAACCACAGTACTTTATCCGCCTTCTTCTCTTCTAGCGCCACCCCCTCTATTCTGTCTTCACGCATCCCCGGGCGAGAGATTTTCCTTGCTTTTTCCTCCCAGAAAAGCAACGAAAATTCCAACTCTCACTGCGTTTACCCACCGAGCACCCTGCACGCGATCATAAACATATAGTATTCTCGAAATTTAACTATCTTGAGTGAATTATAACCTGGCCCGCACGAAAGGGTTATAGTTCGCCCCGGCCATCGATCTAAAGCAAGTATACACAAGTTAACTTATACAGAGCGTCCAGAAACAACCAGTACTACTAACTCAACTGCCGCAACCCACAGTAACCCGCCGGGTTGTCCACTAGCGGGATATTATTTTAAATCGCGACACACCACTACACGCCCGAAAGCTATAAAATTACCATACAGCTATATATTCGCGTAAAGTATGCCAACGGAATTTTCTTATCTAGAATGTATAAGGAAACACGGTGAAATTCAGAAAGAATTAACGCGTTCGCTGTTCCATCGAACCTACATTTCATATGACCTATTTCGATTAATTTTTAATATGGTAATAGTCCCTTTATCTACTTTCAGGATTACATAAATTTTCCCAGAATTTACGACGGCGCAAAGTTCTTGGATGAATTAACATCCACCTAACTTCACTCAACATAATTACATCTTGAACGCGATAAAACGAATTATCCAACTTCGTTCCCCCACCCTTTTCAATTACATCCATCAAATTGCGTCAGAACGTTCCCTGAAAGACCGATCAGAAATGTCCATTCTAAAAAGCAATTCCAGAAACGTACCGTCGACTATCGATCGTTCCATGAGACTCTAAAATATACCTCGGTATCTTGTGTAAGACGAATTCTAAAGGTGAGCATTTCATGGAAATTGTAAGGGTTTTGAAGGGTCTTGTTAAAAATCTCATCTGTGAGATTGACGAGAAGTACGAGTAGGGTGAAGTGGTCGCATTCTTATGAGATCGCGCCTCCGGCTGATAGGTCATCAGATTTTACGCGAATTTTTGCCCACGTTGCTGTACTTCTCGTCGGATTTTATAATTTCAAAACAAGGAACGTGTTTGGAATACAATTCCATCAAGTTGTTGACGCTCGGGATTAAATACCGTGTTCTATCTTTATCAGTTGAATACATTAGTGAGTCAGTGAAGTGGAAATAAGCTCACGCTTCATTAAACCCCCTTTACACTTGCAAATCGTGACACATAATCTTTAAAATTCACGAAATATTCATATTTTTGCAGCAGTTGAGTTTTAATAAAAGGGTAGTTGAAAGAGATGGTAGTTTGTGGACGCTCGTGGAACGGCCTGGAGTAAGACAAAGAGGGGAAGAGGAAACTAATAATGGTTTGTCGCTATTTGTCTTTCCCTGATGATTTTCTTCCCCAACCACTTCCAGTTTCGGGCAGATTCCCATGGAATAATTGGCGAACGGTTCCAGCTCCGGAAGCCGGTTTCGACGCTGTCCATACCTGGCGCCGTGAAAAACTCCAGCAGGGACTCAACGACGCGTATGCAACAGGAGGACTCGGGCGTCGCTCTGGTGGGTAATGTCGAATATCCCCGCTATATGGAAGAACGACAGCTCGGTGGAGGAGTGTACAAAGGTCCTTCATCGGGTAGCCTGAAGCACAAACCCAACGTAGGCTATAGGTTAGGTAGACGTAAGGCGCTCTTTGAAAAGCGGAAGAGGATCAGCGATTACGCTCTGGTAATGGGCATGTTCGGGATCATTGTGATGGTAATCGAGAATGAGTTATCCAGCGCCGGCGTCTATAGAAAAGTAATCAATAAGTAAACAAATATTTTTAATCTCAAATAAATATTTTTTAGGACGAATTTTACTCAATTTCACTTAAAAGTCTGATATCTGTGTCGACTGTGATCCTATTAGGCCTCATAGTAGCCTATCATGCATTAGAGGTTCAGGTAAGTGCAAACTAAACTAACTTACTAACCGGCTTAACGGTTTACAAAGTTCCTTGAGAACAAAAGATTCCATACTCCAAGACGGAATATAGATTTACCACAAGATACAATGCGCTTGCGTAAATCGATCCCTCCTCCCACAGACCAGAACGCAATATATTAGTCATCCATTTGAAATTGACTTTAATTAATAGACGATTGTGTGATTCTGTTGCAATTATGGTGGTTAATAACCTCGTCCGGGGGTTTTTGAAAAATTAACGAACCTATACGTTCCCCTTCGCCTAATGGAATAACTAAAACCGTCTACTTTCGTTTCACCCGTGGACTTATTTACATCATAAACATCGACACGCCAACATGTTTGACTTGGTGAATAAATAATAACGGAAAAAATGTTTGAATCGCACCGAAATATCGATCATTGTCGATAACGAACTTTAAAGACGGCGTCGTACGAACTTAGTTTCATGGCACGATGCTATATATCAACTCGTAAAGTTCTTTTCCAATTTAACAAAGTATTGCACTGAAAGAATTTCAATCCAAACTAATTCCCACAACCTATATTTGAAAAAATCAATCGAAACGGGACGTTGCTCCACTTTGTATTCATAGTAACTAGTTTGTAACCACATAATACCATATAATTCATTCGATGATTGCTTTTGTTTCGTAAATTTTTAAATAGAAATCGCTTAATAAATGAATGCATCGAAAAACTACTCAAGTTAAAATAAATTTCTTAAATAAATTTTTTTTCAGCTTTTCATGATAGATAACTGTGCCGATGATTGGCGTATTGCGATGACATGGCAAAGAATATGCCAGATATCGATGGAGTTGTTAATTTGTGCCGTACACCCCATACCGGGACATTACCGTTTCGTATGGACTACACGTTTTGCAAACAAAGACAGCGGATCAAAATGTGTGCCGTACGACGTGCCGCTATCACTACCAATGTTCCTCCGACTGTACCTGATATGTCGGGTGATGTTGTTACACAGTAAACTCTTCACCGACGCCTCATCAAGAAGTATAGGGGCCCTCAATCGCATTAACTTCAATACACGCTTCGTGCTCAAAACCTTGATGACCATTTGTCCCGGAACGGTACTTTTGGTCTTCATGGTATCCCTCTGGATAATAGCCAGTTGGACGTTGCGGCAATGCGAGAGGTTCCACGACGAGGAGCATGCTAATTTATTAAACGCTATGTGGCTCATTGCCATTACGTTTCTCAGCGTCGGTTTTGGTGATATTGTACCGAACACTTACTGTGGTAGAGGAATAGCCGTAAGCACAGGAATCATGGTAAGACGGCTACTGGAAGTTCCAATCTAAACGTTTCCTTCTCTTACTCTGTATCCAGGGCGCCGGTTGTACTGCCTTACTCGTAGCTGTGGTCTCCAGAAAATTGGAATTAACTAGAGCGGAAAAACATGTTCATAATTTTATGATGGATACTCAACTAACTAAAAGAGTAAGTTAAGATTATTATGAAGTAATGTGATTAACAAATATTTTTTTAGTTGAAGAATGCAGCCGCAAATGTTCTTCGAGAAACGTGGTTGATTTATAAACATACAAGGCTAGTGAAGCGGGTCAACCCTGGTAAAGTTCGTACTCATCAGCGTAAATTTCTCTTAGCTATTTATGCGTAAGATAATGTAATAGTTGTTTTGAGCCTACATATTTTATTAAATCTTATACAGTTTAAGGAAAGTGAAGATGGACCAGCGGAAACTTCTTGATAACGCTAATACGATTACAGATATGGCAAAGGTACCACTACTTTAGATTCTATATTTTTGATTTACACATTATTTTTAGACCCAAAACACAGTTTACGAAATAGTATCAGATATGAGCACTAGGCAGGATACTTTAGAAGATCGTCTAACCACAATAGAAGATAAAATAGCCACGTTACAAGAACAATTGGACTTATTACCAGAACTAATAACATCGAGATTCCAAGCACACGTAACAAAATGATTATAAAACTTGTTATGTTGTATATATGTTGATTTTAATTTTAGACTGAAAAGATGGATCAGCGAAGAAACTTTTTGCACCCGGAATCGGCGGCCGGATTACAACAAGCCAGGAGTGTACCTCCTGGTTGTCCTTGGCCAAGTCCGGCTTTACCACCGGTAACGGGAGCAAAAACTACAACCACAACCCCTGCCCCGACAACAACCCCAGCGCTCACGGGCATTTAGCATGGGGACGGAATCGTAGCGCGCAGCGACGTACTACGCGAATTGCCTTATAGATATTGATAATTTCATATTTAAAGTAGCTAAGTACCGACCGTACGAGTGAGTCCGATGTATTAAGAAAAATGGCCTTATCGTAAGGGGAGCGTCTCGTTGTTTTCTACTATAAGGAGTGGGTGTTGTGATGGGACCCAACTCAATGGGTCCCCTTATTCAATGGTTATGACTATTTATACTTTCACCGTTTTGGCTTCGATACATGTTTTCGCCTACTCAAATGCTCCCTCTGGTGGTAGAATTAGTTAAATGAATTCATAGAGATAATTCATTCATTTTTTTCTCGTTACAAAAAATCTGATAAATCGAAAATTAAGTTTTCTTTTCAGTTTATACAAATTTTACTGCCAATGAAAACATATCATTGACGGATTCTTATTAAAATTTCATTTCAACCCGGCACTTTCATATTTGTATTTGTAGTGTATCCCCAGATTTTTCTTTTTTCTTTGTTAAAGTATAACTTTTCCATTACTTGCAATTCAAGCTTAAAAGAATACAACAATGGTGTTTCACGACTCAATAGAATTCCCGATGGGATGGCTCTGGTTGAGAAATAAAATGTGTTTATGTGGTGCTTGGTTATCTAACCTTCCCTTCTGTGATATCCCTTGTTTTATGGGAGTCATAATTTAAACAATGGTTTTAGCAATCGTTACAGTTTATGGTGGGATAATCTGGAAACACTACATCTCTTTGGATATTTAGTTCATCAATGATTTTATTTATTTTTCGATTTACCAGATAAAAACAAAATAAATAAAGTGTAGGGGGCGTTACAAAACATAACACAGTACAAGTCCGGGTCCATCTCTTAGTATTAACGAGTAGTGGTAAACAAAATTGCTCAATTTTATTAGCTCCACTAAGAGAGTCTGTTTCTCGTGCGGACGATTAGATTTAAATTCGTGCTATCGAAGCAGTTTGGCCATAATCCGATTGTTGCGAGACCGAATCCCGTCCGGAGATGTCCGAAATAAAAATAATTATGACGTTTTTTTCACACGAGCAGTCTTCCAAAAACTTAAAAAGTGTTTTTTGCAAAAACTCCATCCCATCCAAATAGATAGATTCCAAATAGGACCACGTAGGTTCCGTTACCTGACCCTCGTCGGACGGATTTCGGGCTGACATCGGAATAAAGCTCTTGAGCATCTGCGAAAACTGGCGGTGCCAAACGACGCTGTGCCAACCGTGCAAAGTCCACACGGACACGGCTTCACTTCAAACGACCTCCTACTTATTACTATCTTGTATTAACTCCCCGAAGATCGGATAAATTCTCCAGAGGGATGCGAAATAACGACGAAGCTTGGAGACGGTTACTTCATAGTGAGAAAGGCGCATTCATTTTGACGCGGTTAGTGATCTCACATTCTAAAATAATATTTAGATATTTTTGACAAATAGGGTGAATTAGGTTTATTGAGGTTTTAAACGTCAAAGAAAGACACCCCCCATAGGTTCTTTTATGGAACACGAGAAAATCCGAGTACTACTTGCACTTCTGGATTGATTAACTTTATATTTAATATGTTTTTATTAATACTAACAAGTGAGACTAGTTTTTTGTTCACTTTCTTTTGAAGCAGGGAGTTAATAGAAATCATTTCACCACTATGTTTATTTAAGTCCCCGTTCAGTGATGAAAAATAAACAAAATTAAAGTCAATTAATGTAATTTTGGTTACAACTGTAACCATAAAGCTATCGTTACTACCTCTTTTCCGCATTAACCTAAAAAATCAATAATACTCTCGCGCCCTCTCTTATTAAATCACTGAACTCGACCTTTAACTTTTCTTTAAACGTAACTGTTTTTAAAGGGCTTAAATAAATATAAATATTTTCTAATAATTAGTTTTTATTTAAGTTAAGCAAGTATAAAACATGATGTAGACGAAGTGCACTGTTAAAAAAAATAAAGGATAGATTGCAAGGTTGAGGTAGTATTTAAAAAGAATAAAAATCGTAGATGTAATCGCGTAATTCCATTCTCATAAATATTGTTTTATTACGAATCGTGTAGAGCGAACAATTTTAAATATAGAAACTTTAAACAAAAAAATAAACAAAAAAAGAATAAATTAGATCGTAGGCGATTTCACAACTCACCATTAGGCATCTAAAATTATAAATATAGGTGATAAATACTTCCCCGTGTAATAACCGCCCGTCTGGGAGTTTGTAAAAAAAATCATCAAAAAGAAAATATTACGTTGATTGTTAATTACTTGATAACAGGTGTGATAGCGTAAGTGTACCGTCACCTTACGCGTATATTTAAAATTGAGAGGTCCAAAATTGTTAAAACTGTTAGAGTTTTTGTGCAATTTCATAAGTTTTATAAGCGTATATTAAAAATATGAGGCGATTAACTTAACTTAATTGAGGTTAATTCCCTTAGGATGATAACACCGAGTTCTTGTACATAACAAGCGCAAAATCCGTTGATTTATTGTTGGTTCGATCTTTGTTCCTTGTTTAATTAAATTTGTAAAATGTCGAATGTTTCCTCCATTCGATTAACAACGTATTTCTCCCGAAATTCGTAACTCCTCTGTTATCGTCATGTTAATCAACGAATAAACCTAGTTTCTTAAATATTTGTTGTTTTAATATCCATCCTTTATTACATACAAGATGATTTGCATTTTATTTATATAAACTTAATTTTGGAAAAAAGGTCGAAAAGGTACAAAACGCCATCTATCTTTGGGGGAAAACTTAAATCTATTATGAAATACAAAAACGGATAACCAATAATAGATGGCACACAACCTCAAATAGAATATACTTATTGTATTTTACCCCACGAAAATTACTAAAAGATATTTAAAAATTTAAATATTGTGTGAAGATACAATTTATTAATATAATTAGTACTATAACTGTTTAAGTGTTTTTTTGTTTTTTATGTGTAAAAAAACACGGCGTATCATAAATCACGTGATTTTTCGCAGCGATAATTATTGCCAGTATTATTTCTCACGGTCGTAAAAGCCATCAGAAATATCGGAAACTATACCACAATTTCAAACAACATCGATTTTTATGACGGTCATAAATAAAACTCGGCGAGACACGAACAGGATCGAATTTAAATTTATTAAAACTAAAATTATTTTATACCCATTATTTCTCTACAATTTGCAATAAAGGTGTGTTCCTTAATGCGGCCCTTAGTTTAATTCGTTTTATTCCCACAGAAATAAAGAGACGGAGTTATAAAAACCGATTATTGTAGATTGTTATCTATACCGTACTTGTTAAAGGTTTATAACTTCTACAATTTAAATTATGTGATTTTAAAACTTAATAGAATCAAGAGCTTAACCCATTTAGTCCCACGATGCTTTATATTAAAAATAACGATTTTTTATAATTTTCCTTAAGATAAGATGGAATGAAAAGTATAAAAATGTACAGTTGTTTGAAAAAAAAAATTGTTTTTGAGATATGAGATGGTGCAAAAATGCACACACAAAAATTTTGATTATCATTTATTAACTAAGTAATAAATTAGCCGTAAATAAATAATAATACTAATACAACATAATACTAACAAATTCCAACTTTAGTATGAAGTTTAAGATAAAAAATATTTGTACTAAAATTGTCCAAATGGTGTGTTTTTGCACCATTAATGTTATTTTCAGAATTCATATTTTTATTTTGCGTTTCAAGATATACAGGATGTCCCGAAACTCAACGTCAAGCGGGCACCGGGTAAGAGGCCAACCCATAAGTGTTCTGGTAAAAATGAGAAAAAAATTCCATGACTCTTAGTTAAGTGGTAATAGACATACTTTTGAAAATGTTAAAAATCGGTCCCGTACATCATATCTTTAGGTACTACGGTCAGAAATGTTCGATTTTTGTAATAATCTATTCCTTGTGAACCATGCTACTGTAAAAGTCACAAATCAAACAACAAAAGTCGTTAGTTTTGCAAAATCAAATATTAATTTGATTGAGTTAAGGTTGAAAGAATTTATGTCTATCAAGTTTGACACACGATTTCTAAAAAAAGGAGTGGTACAACACCCTTGGCAAATAATTCTAAAAGATGGCCTGTTTAGTCAAGTTTCCAAAATGGTACAACACTTGCTATTTTTCTTGTCATAAAAAATATTATTGCCTGTTTTTCTGCAAAAAACACGTTATTTAAAAAATTCATACTTTTGTATGTTATTTGTATTTACTTTTTATTTCCTCTTAACTTTGTTAGAAGATGTGCCAGTCAATATCTACGAACTACAAAATGTGGTTTCAACAAGATGGTTGCCCTTATGTCTTGCAAAAAGACTCTTTCAAATAAGACAAAATTAAACAAACAAATTTATTTATTATTAATTTTATAGCATTATTTTCTTAAAACTAAGGCAAATGCTCAAATTATTTGCCGTCGGCACTAATACAAGCTCTGCATCGTCACAGAAAAGATCTTTTTACTAGTTGTGCAAATCTCTTTGCATTTATTTCTTCTGCTGCTGTATAAATATTGTTCGGCAAGATTTTCAATCGGTTTTTAATGCACAGTTTTTACTATTCATCCTCGTATTTTTCCAAATTGACGGTAAATATTTATTTTGTAATTGATAGTTATATTTTTTGACCTTTTGACATGTTTTTTCTTTTTCTGTTTTTTCTTTTTTTGTTTATTATTCTTAGTCGTGCCCGATGAAGACAACATACTGTCGAAACATGTAGCACCGAAATAATTTAATAAATTTAACAATTGACATCCTGTATATGAGGAAAATATTGCAAATGTCAAAATTTTAAAGAATTTTATGCACTAAAAATAGTTTTATTTCTATTGTATGAAGAAAGAATTATGAAATATTTTGATATGTATAGCCTAACAACCTTATAGTGTTATCGTACAAACAGCTAGTACCTTGAAATCTTGTAATGTATGGCTGTAAAATAATTTTTCACACCAGTGGGACTAAATGGGTTAAACAAGATTTTGCTATAAAAATAATCGATTTTTTTGAAAAAAAAAAAGCATGATAAAACTAAACTCTCTATTAATTCTGCCATTAGTCAAACACGATTAATTAATAATCAAATTAACAAGTAATGAAACGTGATTCATATATGATATTTGCATGAGTGGTGTGCATTGACATATACTCAGTGTAGTTTTTGTTCTTATGAAAAGTTTTCTGATGAAATTGGGTTGGATGGACAACTTTGCAGAAAATGATTATAATTTGATGTTAAAGTACACCATCTATGAGGGGATTGCCAAGGTTTTGAAATGCCTTATGGATAGCGTTTTATTGATTTTAGCATCCCTAACATATTCCAAATCTCTTCTTATATTGTATTAGCATATTCCCTTGTCTGGACATCATCTCTCCCATACTACCATTGATGGGCAACTTTAATTCAACAAAAATTTTTAAAAACGAATTTATTTAGGATCCAAACTAAAAAATAAACAAGATTCAACATCAAAAAATTTTATTATAGTATATTAAATATTATTGCAGAAAAATAAAGTTAATAACTAAAAAGTCGGTTCCATCTATGAGTTGACAGGCTAACATCAAAGTTGGAAATTCCTATTATTTTAGGGAGGAAGTTGCAAAACAAAATGATTACTTAGAGGGTAGATTCTATTATAGATGGCAGTGTATGTATCGCTTTCTACATTGTGATTACCGAATGCGTTTTTATTTGAAATTATTATTAAATTAATTAAAAAATACTTACGTCAATTGCTCACAAAACGATTAATTAAACTAATAAATTATTTAACAACCATAACGATTACACTAATTAAATGTTTTTATAATAATTAAATACAGAATGTTGCTAACGAGTTTTTACCCTCATGGGGTGATATCTTATTTGAAAAGAAGTCTTTTAGAAGCGGCTTTTATTGAGCCGAGTGTAGGAAAAAGGTATTTATTTGTTTGTAAGAGCCCACACTTGAAATTAATACAAAAAACCCTAGTAATCTGTAAGGGGAAATTTTGAAGAGGTGAATAGAGGTATTAGGCTCATTAATTTTAGTATTTTTTCTTTGGCATATTGTTGCCGGGCCGGTATTTATTAGCATCGACGAGAGGAAATGAAGCGTTTCGTATTTGGAATAATTGGCAACGTAAAAAGAGCGGGTTCCCTGTTAAATTTGTAATCTGGCCGAGAAGGCGGAAGGGCAGAAGGGCGGCAGAACTGCGGGGCGGCTGCGGGCGGAGCGTTGCTCTAAAGGGGGGAGTGGCGTGGGGAGACCGGGGAAAAATATTCGGCCACAATAGGGAGCGGTGGTTTTTTCAATTATAAACTCTATTTAGCTTAGTACAGATTGTTGTGTAATCAGTTTAGCTCGTTACAGCCCGTGCGCAACCAACGGTGAACCACAGCGGGAAAACAATCTAACTAAAGCAAACCTAAACCTTAACTGGGGTAGAATGATTGCATTCCCAGGACCCGGGACTCGATCGTTCCACTCTCGGCTCAACTCCAGTTCAGCTCCGGTTCGTCGGTTGGGAATCTATAAAAATGCACGCCCGACGAATCCTTCCCTCCTTTCCATCTAGAAAACCAACCATATATATATAACTCAATCCATTTCTTATTAAACCAACTCCAGATGTTACTAGAATAGCAAAATTCCAATCCAGTCCAGTCGGATTTACAAGATATCATCTACAATTAATCACAAGACATAAAAATAAAAAGAGTATAGCTTAAAATCTTCCAAATTATTATTTAATATTACAGGTGGGGCAATTGCTCGAGTGAAGCATCAAATTTCGCCGTTGATATGCATTAAGGGGATTACCGTGGGATTATGTTACAGTGTTCGTTTCATTTCTCAATTAATTACGGCCAGAACACCTGAGGGCGGCCTTAACCAAATATTTTGCCTGAGGGTTGGGAAGGGAGAGGAAAAGGGGGGATCGGGACAGTAGTGCCTCCCCAATTTCATTCGGACCGGCGGTCAGGATGGCAATTGAACGTTTGATGGAAATTAACTTATCAATGTAAGCGGAACAAGCGTTAAGGTCTTGCGCCCACGGGATTAAATGGGGTGGCGCCCCACGGGACCAGATTGCGATAATGCAACGCCAATGCGTCGGCAGGTCCCCCCTCGGAGTTTTATCTTTTCAAGTTTGTTTTTGTCTTCTTTTTATGACTGTAAACGCGACAACGCGCGAGGGCGGAAAGGTTCCAAATAACACCGCTGAATGCTAATACGATTTATTCCCAACAAGTACATTCAATTATAATAGAAATACATGGTTTATACATCGCTTATGCATATGCTCGCTCTGAAGGTGAAACTTTTTTTATACGTCTAAATCACTTTCCGTAACACGACTAGATGCTATATCCACTTGATTTTTTTGTAACGAACTATCCTACGGTGTTGAGCAGATTATTGGAAGCATTTTGCTTGATTCTAAAAAAGAAATAAAAAGCGTTGTATTGATGAGTAAATAAATCCTTTTCTTAAAAGACGTTAAGTTCGATGATGAAGTGTTGGGGGTGTTATTGAGAAAGGATTCGTTCAAAGCTAAACTGGTAACCCTCACCTTTCGACGAATTGAAACGGTAGAAAGGGGCGCTTAAATAATTGATATAGAAAAGGCGAGAACGGAAGATGTAATAGATAAGAAAACAGAAGGGGAGGGTCGCTCAAAATGCAATACAGTCGTTATGCGTATTGTGTTTTCGGCCGGCATCTTTAATTATTCAAACCTCCATAGGAACGGAGTAATTTTAATCCATTGTTAAGTTAAGCAAACATTCGGGGGCATTGTTACGACTGTTCACTATAATTGCTTTTAATTTACAGAGAAGACGAGCATTATGTTTTCAGTATTTCATTATTCCCGGCATATATAGGGTGTCTAGCCAACCCCAACCCAAAATTCGTCCAAAATAAAGCAGCAAATTCTGTTTGAATTATGAAAAAGACATTTTAAAGGGCGAGTTCCGCACGAAAAACTTCGCAGACTTCTTTTTATTTGAATCCAACTTTTAATTGGAATAGCCAAATGAATTTTAAATATTCACAGCCCTAAATTACAACTCAAACTCTTATTATTGCGAGGTTCGCGCGAATCCCGATGGCTCCCGCGGGAACCAGACGTCTTCCCGGACCGTCGTTAATCCGAACGATTTGCCCCGGAAATATCAAAACAAATTGGACCCGTCAGTCTATCCTTTTTTATTACTCTAGGTGCGATCGGATTAAATCTCTGCTCAACGACCAAATCCGGCTCGTCAGGGTACCAGCGAGGGTGCTAAATGTCAAATTTTGACCTTTTTTTTTCAACACACCCAACCCTCATCGTATTACCATGTTATCTAAAGATACATTTAATAATCAAAAATTATATTAACACATTTTCTATATATCTATATCTTAACACATTTTAATTTAAAATTTTTCTTTTGCATTGACATCACATCGATACAACAATGGATACATTTGATACTATATCAGTCCATAATGGAGCAACATATTGCAGCGCCTCAGCCACCAGGGACCTAATCTAATCTTAAGCGGGACAATTTTATTTTATTATGCTGAGGGGCTACAATTGATGTGACATCAGACGAAATCGTGCATTCTTTGTCTAGGCACTGCAATATATGTTGCCTAAGTTTGTATTAATATTCCACAGTCTTGGATAAAATACTACTGCGCCACTAATTCTAGTTAGACTCTGGGTGCAGTAAGCAAATATAGCAGCACCTCAGAGGTAAGGTGTGTTAAGTCAGATTTTTTGCGAAATGAGTTATCTCCACCATGTGTATTTGTTTAAACATTCACCCATTAACTGCCAACTTTTTTTTTTAATTGTAATTTGCCAAGTGAGGTACGTCAAAATTTAAAATCCCCAAATGGGGTCGTGGCAGCTAATGGGTTAAGTTTGTGACTTAACATACCTTACTCTGAGGTGCTGATATACAATAGAATATAGAGCTTCTATTCACATAGAGTAGATATTATAAAATATTGTCAGTCCTTGTAAATATACAATTTTTAATGTAGTCGAAATTAATATTGGAGTCCATTTTAACCAGTTTTTAATAAAAATTTTAAGAATGAAAATTGTAAAAAATTGCACTTTTACTGGTTAATAAAATATTCATTTTACTACATACTAAAATTGAGTTTTTAATGTTAATTCAAAATTATAAATAACCCCCTTTTTCAAATTGTGTAGATTTTCAACTTGACTCCGCTCCTTTCCTGATGATGCTAAGTCAGGCGAAACATGTAAAAAATAAAGGAGACATATTGTGTTTAATACAGAATATTTTATTAACCAAAAAAATTAGATAGTTGATATTAACCGAAAAAATAATACGTTGATTTGTTTTGTAAATGATAATAACATATTATTAATTAATAACTCAACTCAATTAGTAATAATTCGAATAATCTGAAAGTATTAAATCCTGATTAATGTCGATGGGTATTAATTGGAATAATGAGAAATTAAGTTGGGTTTTTAATATTATTGTCTATTATGGGATCGTTTGAACATATCCTCTCATTCATGACGTAAGAAGATTTAGGACGAAACAAGCGTCGTTTTCACGAATTGAACGAATAAAACATAGGGAAACTCAAAAGCAACTGATCCTTAAAATTGAACACTTTTTACGTGACATCAAGAGCGTTTTAAACCCGGGACGTCGGAGGATCGTGCCCGTTCCTTTGCGTTGCGACGCCTGGAAAATACAGTACGGACATAATTACATGGAATTGCCCTGCGCCAACGGCGGGCGGCTTCCATCATTCGAAATGGATCCGTTATCCCGTTCTACGTGTCCTGGTTGCGATATAAAAAAGCAATCATGTACAAAATCATTGCCGGGTATCGGGTATTTCTACGTTACCGTCGGGACACATTCTTTTCCCTGGCACCAGGCGTTCTTCCCGCGGGACACAAACTCATTTAACTTGGAATGTGTATTTATTTTATTAGGACTGCAACTAATGGTCTATCACAGTTTCTACTTTTATAAAACGATTCCCTTTTTATCAATGTTCTTTCTTACCTCGAATTCTATTATTATCCTAAGAAGTTAAATTTTGGGAAAGCAACACGACAATTCCCCAAGGCAATTATTATTACCAAGGGAATAGTTACCCTACTTAGAAAAAGAAGGTCAAATAAAAGTTATTTAATTAAATAAATTTGCTTCGTCTTCTCTTTTTAAAACACACATCATTTAAAAATAAGTGATAGATCGTGCATCGTCACTTTTGTATACGATCAAAATAAAAACCCCACTCAATCTTCAATCGATTGTAACACCGGTGTTTGCGTTTAATAACATTAACGGTTGATGCTTTCACGCGGATTAAACGTAAACAGAAAAATATTTTCCATCTCACCTTGTCCTCGATTTCATCCGTCGTTTCGATGTCCACCTCGTCATCGCTCTGTTCCTCCTTTTGGGGTGTAAAGCTGCCGCAAGGTTGTTGCTGAACCGGCTTGAAAGCGGACTGATATGATCTGTCGACGGAAAAGAACGGATTTTCGCTGGGGAACACGATTGAGTTCCGTTTTAGCCAGGGAAAAGTTGAGTATGAGGCAAAGGCGAATGGTTTGTGGTAGATAAAATCCATCGCCACCCTTGAAATAGGCAACGAGACATCTTGGCAACTTGGTATTCTAGGAGATGGAATAACGGGAGTTGGTTGCGTTTCTGGAGTTGGTTTGCAATGATGTTTGGAGGTTCTTGGTGAAACTGAGCCGCTCAACAATCTTTTTCGCGTGCCACCATTAAACATAGCTTTCACGTCTTCCCAAGCGTGAACAATTTCTTCGGGGGAATCCCCCGATAACTTCATATGACGTCTCCATGAATTAAAATTTGCCGCATCCGGTTGGACATATTTATCGTTGGGTCCCAATCGATGAGAATGGAAGATGAATTTGTTTGGAGAGAAAAACAACCCACATATGGTGCATTTGATGCATTTTGCTCTGGATGAATTGTATCTCGACGGCAAGAAAGAACCTCGACATCCCCAAGCGCACTCGTGGTGAACCGCAAAAGCGAAATCGTCTGGGAGTCTCGGCGGCGAATTATCCCCGAGGAAGCTTTTACAAAGACGTTCTGCCTCTCTTCTGGTAATCATACCACATCTACGCGAAGAAACTGGCATTGCACCGGCCCTTCGTAAAATCTCCAACTGAACTGGAGTACATTGCACACATGTTATTCCTAAGGCAACCCTTCTGTTATGAATTTCGTTATAACTGAATTGCTTGAGGAGGGTGTTTGAAATTTGGGCTAAACATAATCTTTCTTGGTTTTCAATGACTAACGATACTATTGGTACTCCATACAAAACTACTGTTCCAACCTGGAACTATACATCTTATTTATTGCTTATATAAGAAAATTATTTTGTTTATTTCAATTTTTATGAAAACAATTTTTGCCTAATACAACAATAAACAAACTCACCTGATTAGTTTTAATTGCCAAATCACTCTTACCGGGATTAAAACAGGATGTGTCCGAGCTTTTCAGCTTGAACCTCTGCTCGTCAACCCTGAAACGGATCCTTTAAACGTATCTGGGTGGTGGGCGGAGGGAAAGGGCGGTAAACACCACCGTTTACTTACATGTCGACCGAGAACTGCACAAGAGAAAACCACAGAAACTGTGCACGCTTTCTTCGCCGGACGCGACACCCGAACCGAATGAGTGATACACCCTCGCCAGGAAAGAGCCAGCCCTTCTAGCTCCACCCCAACGGCACCGGAAGGCCGCACCAACCCCTATTTCCACCAATCGCGATCCTTGCCACCCTTTATATTAATAAGAGGAACCTCCTATCTTACGGTAACCAATGATGGGATAATTGTGTACATAAGATGTGGTGCATAAATAACACTGTCTAAGTTATAAAATAAAAACTTTAAGGTTAAAGCTTTTATTAATAATTAATAAATATACATTTTCTAATAAATACTTATTTAATTATAAAGTAATTTATAGTTTATTCATAAAACATATATCATAAACAATTTTCTAATTCTTCCCTAATTTTATTTCTTAATACAAATTTAAAAGTATTCTTTTTTCTGTCTACATAGAAAAATAATCGTGGATAAAATGTAGTGAGATGTTGATTAAATTAATCCTGAAAGTAAAATTCTAATTACTTTTGCGGCATGCGGTAAGCAAAGGGGGCGGTGAAAAGGTATTGAGGGGCCAATTCCGGTGACGCCCGGCAGTAGTTCGGCTGCGGAACGCCGTCTTTTCAATCGAGGACTCAACCACGCGAAATAATACGCAGCCGTTTCCTATACGTATTACTTAGTAATTATTGTGATAGCCCCCATCGCTAAGATACGTGCGGATCATCCCGGATCCATGCGGATTTCGCGCAACGGGGATTTTCTCTGTCCGACTCCCCAAAGTACCTCTCTAACTCCCAAAGCACTTTTTGCATTTCCTTTTAAGCGTCTAACTAATCGACTATAATTGCTTACATCCTTTTATTATACCCCACCATTATCCCTATCTATATCAATTTTTATTTTCAACCCTCCTAACATAGTACAGATTTTATTTAATTATAAAATATACAGAATAAGAAGCCGTAATAATGCTTTATTTGTAATATTAGATATCCCTATATCTTCATATTTGAACAATGTGTAATATAGCACATTGTGTTACATAAACAGAGGCGTAATGTGTCCCAATTCTGTGGAATATTGGATTTGATATTTTGCTTTATATATACATATACATCAACTTTACCAACAATATAAGACTATACATCCCGTTAGATTAAAAGGAGAAAGAAGACTACCGAAGGAGACCTGGGAGGATGTGATAGGGAAAAGAAGGGCCAAAGAATTTCTGATAGATAAAGACGAATGGAACAGATTTGTTCATATTCGAGAGATATAAGCGGGGTATTATTTCCTTTACCAACCATGATATTTTAGTAACAATGAAAATATCATAAAATTAGTCTTCTATAATGCTGTGCAGTAGTACTTAAAATAAAGAAAAGAAAAGACATTAATAAAACAAATTAGATGTATTAATACATGTTATCTAGTTACAGAGTGACACAGATGTCTATCATCAAGTAACATCAAGAATGGCCATCGTCTCCCCGAGAGCTTAAAAAGACCCTTGGCATACACCAAACATATAAATATTTCTCAATTTGAATGTTGGTATCGCCAAAAGGACTACGGGTTCTCAAATCTGATGACTAAATCGTAGAGTTTGTGAGCGCAACTTTGAATTCATCTATTTATCACTTTGTATAATAACTCAATATGTAATAACTCAATTCCCAATGGAACACCATTAGGTCCTTTATAGTCTCGTGGACTAAGCACAACAGAGAGGGCGTTCCAACAACTTCCAGTTGGGTGTACAAATACCTGCACCAACCCAGATGTAGATCACTCCTACATCTCATACTAAAAGCAGCATTGCAAAAAAGTAGATATAGATATTTTTTTAATAAATAGATTGTTAGTTGGTACAATGTGTAATTTAATTTTGAACAAAATAAATGTTGTAGCAAAAAAAGAAAAGAAAAGAACGTATGCATTAGCGAAATAAGTGGGAAAAGATTATCAAACGAGGTGAAAACTGAGGGAAGGAAAATAATTGGATTTTTAGCTAAGGAAGTTGAGAATGGCATTGGTGGTTGTTTTCCGTTTGGGGGAAAAGCGAGACGTTGTTATCCCGAACGATATTTCTTGCCAATTATGAGTTTATTGTGACTGGGGAAAAGCGGTACGCGGGTTTATAAAGCGCGCGGCGGCCACTTTTGCCGGACATAAATTTATTATATTTTTCCGTCACCATTACCGGAGGGGTGAATATAATTTAAGCTATAATTGAATGTTGTTTGAATAATGCATGTCGTTCCTATCGCATCCAAGTCCCGCGAGACCGCATTATTCGGCGCCGCGGAACTCTCCGTTCGACCGCAGATTCGCCATCGAAAACGAAGGCTTGGATAGAAATTTAATTTAACCCACCTTTATTAACAAAATAAAACGGAATTGTTTCGCTAAGCGGAAGCGTATAATGGATTATGCTCCGGCCCTGCGTTTACTCCCTATAATCAATATCTTAATGGGTTATATGCCAGACATGGTTTGATCACTAAATATAACCATATCCTCAATCAATTTATTAAGTACACATTAATTATTTCATCCAAATTTTTTCTAATTATCTTTTAATTTATAGAATCAAAAATCATTCTATATTAATGCCTTAATTCCCAATTAAGTTGGATTTTAAAAAGTTCAGAGCCATCTATCATTATATCCATCTACTCAATTTAAATAAGACTTCTGTAAAGTATAGGTAACTTAAAATATGCCGACACCTTGACTACAGAAGTAAATAAATCATTTTTGGTTAGTTTTTTGTAAGATGATAACTTTAAATCAGTTGGAGGTAAGTTTACCACATTTTAATTTGGTGACTAAATTAACATGATTTTCGATCCATTTTAGGTGTATAAACACCACATAAACTGCGTTTTTAAATGCGGAATGTTGGTTGATGAACATGTAGAGTTGTTGCATCAATATTTAACCTCGCCTAAGTTAAAATCAAATGGGGCCCACTGGAAAATAGCATCAGTTTCTTTAATATGTGGGTGCATTTATAGCGGATTATTAGAATCAGTATTTCCGGTCGTATTGTCATCTTTGCCTTTAAGTGCCATTTTTGCCAAAGACTTAATTAGGTATTTTAAATATAAAGGATGTATTAAGAGGTTTGAGAATTTAACAAAAACGTTTAGGAAAATTTCTGATTTCAATAAAGGTGTTCAAAAGTATTATGAAAGAAGACTTGCAGCTTTAAGTAAATTAGAGTAAATAATTATATAATATATCTTACATTGCTTTAAATAATTCTTTTAGTGATGCAACTAAAATAGTTATCGAAACACCGATTAAAATAAAATTATCAGAATTTGTTAAAAATATTTTTGCTGAAATGGATGTTTTAGTGAATCATATGCATGAGCAATTATTAAATATAAAGGAGTTTATACCTGACCAACTATGGAATGTTTGCAATTTAAATTTATATGGAAAAATACATTGGGATGTCCAAGAAGATGCTTCATCTCAATTTAAGGTGAAAATAAAACATTTATAATAAACAATTCTTATTTTTATAAAATTTTTTTATATAGACATTACAAATGTGTTACATTTTGGCGACATCAACTTATTTACTTGGAATCAGTGTAGCTTTATCCACTCAACCAGAACATGTTTTATCGAAAATTCTCCCAATTTCAGAAAAATTTATTATCTCAAAATACAAAGACATGAAAAATTCCCTTGAAGAAGCAACATATGAATTACCACCACCCCAATTGAGACATAACGAGAGTTTCGTACGAACAGATTCGCTCATCACAGTCTCAAAACTCCTCGAATCACTGCAATTAACTTACCACGCCTGTATTGGAACCCAACAATCCATTTTTACGCTAACAAACGACGACATAATAAGAAACCAACTAAACGATTTAGAAAAATTGTTTTTGGAATGTTCCAGTTTGCTCTCAATATTACAACACGAATATAATTACAACAAAAAACCCATCAAAACTAAATCCAAAGAGATTCCCGAAGAAGTTATCTCCAAGGAGCAAAAAACAATTAAAACATTTCGATACGACGACATTGATGATCTAGCAGAAGATGAGCAATACGAAATATCAATTCACAGTAATAATTATTAACTTAAAATAATAATAATAATTAATAAAATCCTTTTTAGGCAGCGATTTAGAGTCAGACCCAGAAGATGATCCAACAAACGTTGAATACGAACAATTAAAAGAACAAATTCGGGCGCAAAAAATGATTTTGAAAGAGTTAAACGATGAATTACTCAAAAGGAAATTGGTGAAAGAAGAATTTATTGATCAAAATTTAAAATCCAAACCAAAAATAAAAACGATTGATGATGTAGATTTAAATGATTTGGCACCTCCCACGAATTGGTCTTGCAACGTGGTAAATTTAAAACAAAAATTTAAATTTTTTATTACAATTTTTTCTTTAGGACTTTTTGGCGCAAATTCAAGCGATGGCCCACAATCGAGGAGGTGAAGAATCCGTGTTTGGAGATGATGATTAAAATTGTACTAAATAAAATATTTTAAATACAAGAACTATATTGTAAAAAAGACAAAAAAACAAATACAGTGATCACAATGAGGTAAACTTAATACTATCAGTAAATAGTTCTATACACATACAGACAGACGAAATATAATAATTATATATATGCATAATATATTTATATACAGAATACTTGTATAGATGTTTTGTTATTAGAAATACATAAAACTGGTCATGATCTACAGAGATGGACGTGTTTAAAAAAAATGAAGCAGCCGTTGCTACATGATGATAAGAGTATTTATGTTTTGTAAATTCTGAATATTTACGGACGGATTAAAGAAATGTTGATTGATCGCCAACGGCAAATGTAACGTGTATTCTTTTTTTGTGTTCATGTAAATGCATTGAGCTGCTAAAATGGATGGGATGAAGGGATGGCTACAATAAAAATGACTTGGTGAAACTTAAACAATTACCACTTAAATAAAACTTAACATATGCATCCTAACCTAGTTAAAGCATCAAATATTGTGTCAATATACAATACAATTCTATTTCAATAAAAAATATATAGGCAATTCTGCAATATTCTTGATTAATTCTTTAGGCGAGTTGTATAAATATATATTATATATATACTCTGTCCGTAAAGTGGCTTAAACAAATTTTATTTATATCGTATGTTTCTATCTAATAAAAAACCTTGTTCTGGAAACAAAAAAAAATAATACGCAATCGGTAAGTGAAATGAAAAAAATTAATTCTAAAGGAACTTTTATCTTTTTTAGTCTATATAAATAAAGGGATGGCTACGCGTTTCTTTCTGTATTATATACAAAAATGTCGTAATAATTGGTTTGTACTCTTAATCCACCTAAACATTTATAGACTTATAATTAGTATAATATTTCATTTACCCGGACGAATTTTTTCTCATTAACGTCCAATTCTCTAAACCTAAATATATTAAAGGAAATAAATAAATAAGATTTTCTTTTCTCACAAGGAAAAAAACATAAAAATAACAGCAATAATAATTATAAATAACAATGCCCGCTCTACAAAGAAAAAAAAATCCTTAATCATATAACAGTCGAAAAAAAAAAAAGAAAAACGTCATTAAACATTACTCAGGAACTAAGTAAAGTAGAAACATTACAATCCGTAGGAAATAATGTAATCAAATAAAAACATTGCAGAGTAATACTACTTGCTCCAATACATTTTTAGACTAAAAATACTTAATACGAATATCTTTCATTTTTTTTGAACCCTCATTCTAATTTAGCCTCATCTTTAGAGGTTTCCACCTCGTTTATATTTGTTAACGATCGATCATGATTCGTGGATACCGTATACGATACGTCCGAATGAAGCAATGGCGTCGTGTACCTTATTTCAGGTGACAAATACACCAAACTAGCCCTACGCATCGTCTCACACTTACTGTCATTCGTCGTGGTGCCATCAATAAATATCGGATACTCAGATTCCGGTAATAAATCGTCATTACTACGTTTCGCCGAGTCACCCGTTCCGCTATCTTTACATGAAGAATGTTCCGAAATGTTATCGTTAAATTGCGTAGGCCTTTCGGAATAATCTACAATTGTTGCTTCCAATTGCAAAACATTTGGTTGAGGCACACTTATTCTACGTCGCGTTTGATAAATTATTACTACCCATATTATTGATGTACAAACAGCGCAACACACCACTGTTATTATTATTATACCTAATTTATCACTCTCTGTTATTCCATCTAAAAATAAATCAAACATTTTTAATTTTTTTTATATGTATTATTCACTATTTTTGTGAAAATTTGCATACAGGTTTATTCAAAGAACTCGTTTTAGCTAAAATATTTTAAGTTTTCTGCAACTTCCGGTTATACCTAAAATTTAATATAATTTGATATAAGTAATCATGTCTTGATTACACCATTTATCATTATTATTATTATTTATTATTATGAAGTTTTAATTTCAAATAATTTAAATTGTAGAAGTTATAAACCTTTAACAAGTACGGTATAGATAACAATCTACAATAATCGGTTTTTATAACTCCGTCTCTTTATTTCTGTGGGAATAAAACGGACAAAAACGGGATTTCTCATTAAGGGCCGCATTAAGGAACACACCTTTATTGCAAATTGTAGAAAAATAATACGTTTAAAATAATTTTAGTTTCAATAAATTTAAAGTCGATCCTGTTCTTGTCTGCCCGATTTTTATTTATGACCGTCTTAAAATAGTCTCCGATATTTCTGATGGTTTTTATGACCGTGAGAAATAGTACTGGCAATAATTATCGCTGGGAAAAATCACGTCAAGCTACGTGATTTATGATAGGCCATCTTAACGAACTAAGTTGCACTTCTTTTTTATTTTATGCAAAAAAAAAATACTTTAACAGTTATAGTACTAATTATTGTATACATTTCGGAAATACAAATTTTAAATAAATTATTTACATTTATTATTAATTTAATTGTTCAAAAAAAATATTTGCATAAAATAAAAAAGAAGTGCACCTCTGCTATTTTTAATAATGGAAAATTTTTTAATTTGAAATAACAAAATAAAATTTATTTCCGCTAAGTATAAAAATTTAAAATATTGTTAAGTAATATTATTAATATAATCTGTTTAATAGATAACAGTACATATTTAAATATAAACCGATGAACGTCAATCATCGATCGTACCCGACATTCGGGTACGAATGTACTATAATTAATATTAATTAGTTTATTTTTTTTAATTATTATTATTAATTTTATTTATAACCCGAGTTTCTCCATGCGATGTTCTGTATTAAAAGTAAAACTCCGGGTATTCCCAGAGTTGTCTATTCGAACGCAATGGTCATGAATAGCTGTCCGAATTAATATTGTATTCGGGGCATAATATGGACATAATATTGTATCGAGCACATTTCCGTAGTTTTAGGGAGTGAATCATAAAAGAACAACAAACTTTAAAAATGCAAAGAAACTTGATTGTTTGAACAAGCGTTTCGACATCCAGTACATTATAATATGATTTTATAACCAAAGTATATTAGTGATGGGACGGTATTTGAGGAACGGTATTTTGGAGCGGTATTTTTGAGGAGCGTACCGCTTCCACGCAATTTTAAAATACCCGTTACAGAACGTTACTAATATTACATATTTGTAGTGATGGTTCGGTATTTGAGGAACGATATTTTGGAGCATTATTCTAATGGAACGTACTATTCCGGCGCGATTTTTAAAATACCCGACTCCGAACGTTATATTATAACGTTATACATATAAGACAGTCAGGTTAAACGCCGTTATATTGATATTCGTTTAAGGCTCCCTTAACATATTTTTTTTTTCAATTTTCGGATAGCGTGTAATTTTTTAAATTACACGCTATCTGAAAATATTATTATTTTATGATAATAATATAAGGGAATATATAATTTTTTCTAACTTGCTACGAAACCAGCTATGTTTTTGTTCAAGGTCGCGGTATTTTGGAACGGTATTTTTATGTAGCGACCGTTCCTGGAGCGCGACACGATTATAAGCGGTATTCCCATCACTAAAGTATATACATATCAGAAGTAAAGTTTTTCGTTTAACTAATATGTATAGGTATATAAATAAAAAAAATATATAAGACAAACAATTGATATTATATATCTCTTCCTGGTCTTGGAATAACCCTCAATTGTGGTAAGTATTAAAGTTTCATATTTGCCTTATAACAGAAAAAACGTGTTCGGGACTGTTTTTTTATATGTAGCGGATTTTCGGCTATAACGGACACCCCCTCCCCCGTATTAGTCCGTTAATCGAGGTTTTACTGTATTTAAATTTTTAAATATTATGTTTTAGTAATTGTAGACCTCATCCATGGTCTGTATCTTCAAAACTCCTTTTGATGTTAATCACAAAGTCTCCTTACTTTCTAGCATAAAATAGTTTTTGTTTCACGATAAATTCTTTTAATTTGATTCATGATTGCAACTGATAATTTAAAATTTTCAAATAACCACAAAAAAGCGGGTTTGTCAAATTTTTCAAAAACCTTCATTTTAAATATAGAGATGTAATCACAAAGTCTCCTTATTTTTCAGCATATAATAGGCTGGCGAAGAAAAAAAGTTGAGTTGCCATTTAAAAAAATTAACTTTTCGACTTTTCGAGATAAGAAAATTTGGCGCAAATTTCTGACCACTCTATATAATTTTGGTCCTATTTGTGCAAATACTGATAATATTTGGCCTGACTGGATTATAATTTTGAAAAATTATTATGAAAACTGAACTAACTCAAAAATGGTGCAATCTAGACATATGACGACATATCAATTTGTATAAACCCTGTATGCAAATTTTCATAAAAATAGGCATGATGAATAACTTACTTTGTTTGACAGATAGAATACTATAAGCGGTGTCTTGTCCAAGAGTGTTGTTTAAATTACAAACATAAGTTCCAGCATCACCAATGCTTGTATCAACAATAATCATCAATTGATCCTCGGCAGTAAAAAAATGTCTTTCGGTAACCCGAATTGGTCGTCCATCTTTTAACCATTCAATACTGGGTTTTGGAATTCCTCCGGCTTTACATTGTAATACCGCAGATTCACCAACCATAACTTCTTTATCAATCATTGGTTTGACAAAATATGGTTTCTCTAAATTTTTAATAAAATTAATTTGTTTTAAACTTTTTTAACGTTTATTTTGTTACCTTCAATTGTGACTGTGGCGTTAGCGACGATCGTTCCAGCTTTATTTCGGGCCGTACAACTATAAACCCCTAAATCTGCAGGTTGGGTGTTGATGATGAAAAATACATAGTCCGTATTCATAACGTGCATTCGTCTCTCTCTGGCCGCGGGAAAATCATCACCGCCGTCTTTTTCCCATGCTATTTCTGGTTGAGGTTCGCCGTTTGCGGCGCATTCCAAACGAACAGTGCTTCCGGCTTGTACTGTCACATTTGCAGGTACTTTATGAAAAACTGGACGAGCTAAAATTTAAAGATTTAATTTTAAAACGTAAATTTTTTTCAAAACTTACTTAAGACTTCGATTAAAGCTTTTTTCGAGTGAGTTGTTCCATAACTATTACTGACTTTACATTGATACTTTCCAGCATCAGAACGTTGCACATTAAAGATGGTTAACTCCGACTTAATTTCGGTGTTGTTTCCATCGATAACGGCCTTTTCTCTTACAGATGGATTAATTAAGTCGAAGTTATCTTTTTTCCAAATGAACGTAAGATTCGGCGAACTTGAAAAAGCGGAACAACTCAAAGTTATATTTCCGCCATTTAAAGCCATAATTTCTGAATCTGGTTCTTCGGTTAATCTAGGTTTTGGATTATCTCCTACAAATTACATAATTATGAATATTACCAATTAAAATTTTATTAAATGTGCTTACCACATGTTAAATTATTAACTGAAACATTTACTAAAGCAAAATTTCGTAATTTATCTGGGTAATTACATACAGCATCAACAGGCAATTGCCTGTGGTTAAGCCACTTTTGAAATCCTTGTAAGCTACAATCACAAACCAACATAGTTGTATTCATCTTTAATTTATTTAAAAGTTGCATATCTTTAAAGGCACCATCTTGAATCGAACTAATGTTATTATCGGACAAATCGATACTTTTAACATTCTTTAATCCATCAAATGCTTTTCTATGTATCGATTTGATGTTGTTATGGGTCAAAGTAACAACAGAAAGATTTTCTAGCGTTTTAAAAAATTCGTTTCCAGCTTCAATCAACCAAGATAGTTGGTTTTTATTTAATTGTAAAACTTCTAAACGCGGTGTATGTTCGAACGCTGATTCATCAATATATGTGATGTTATTACTGTTTAGAATTAATTTTCTAAGAGAACTTAAATCTTTAAAAGTATCTCGTTTGATGGATTCAAGGCGATTATTTGATAAATCGCTAAAATTAATTAAAAAATGATAATTTTTAATTATTTAGTGCAAAAAAATCTTACAGGTTTGTTAATTCTTGACAAAATTCCCACGCCTCCGATTCTATTTGACGAATTTTATTATTACTTATAGACAATTCTTTTAATTTTTGTAGGCCATATAACCACCCTTTTGATATTACTTCGATATTATTATAATCTAGAAATCTATAAATGGCTTGTATTATATTATACAATATTATATTAATTAAGCTTGAGCACCTAGGACGTATTTTTTGCTCATTTTTAGCTTATTATTAATTCAAAATTAAAATTTAACATAAACTCACAATGTTTGCATTTTTTCCAACCCAAAAAAGGCACCATCACGTAATTGCCCTATAGAATTCTTTTTCAATTTAAGAGTTCTAAGCTGTTCAAGGGATTTAAAACTCAAGGCAACTATATTCTCGAGAGAATTTCGATTTAATTCCCTAAAAAAAAACATTTTTTTAATTAAAATTAAACTTGTTATTAAAAGGTTTCACTTACAAGACTTTTAATTTAGTTAAATTATTAAAGCTATTTATATTAAGTGTTCCAATTTGATTTCTATTTAATTTTAATTCCGTAAGGTTTCTTAAATTCTCCCAATTCTCGGCGGAAATTTGTTCAATGTTGTTGTTATTTAAATTACTAAAAAAATACGTATAAATTAATTACAAGTTTTATGATATCAATTTTAGGCAATTATAGAAAATAACTCTTTCAGCACTACTAATCATTTCCTAAAAATTGAGAAGATAAGAATAACATCGTGTGTTGTCGCTTCAGTTATTATTATCTTGGTTTGAGAGGTTTTTGTTCGAAATATTTTCAGTTTTAGTACCTGCAGTGAAGTTTGTTGTGCTCCGTGTTTTAGCTAGGAACAGTGCCAAAGAATTTCAATTTTTCACCTTTTCAACTTATTATTAAAGCACCAAAATAAATATGTTTTGTACAAAAATTAATGCAAAATCTGTTTTTCAAGCAATTAATGCAAGTTTGTGTATACTTCTAAAACCTAAACTAATGAAATTCAACTTGCTCCCACTTGTAAACGTTTTATTTATTAGAAATAATATTTCACAGCCTCTTTCACTACAAAGAGAAGTAACCTTGCAGCGATGAGTGTTTTGGTGAGTTATTTAAAACGGCAATAAATCGCCATAAAACTAGATGAATGAAGTTACTTACAAATTAGAGAAAAGCAGGAAAGAGAGTATATACGACTATTGCCAAATACAGCTCTTGTATATGTACCTCAACATAAAAAAAGGAGAGGTAGACCAAATACATCCTGGATGATATATTATCCAATCTGCCATTCTTTGCATAATTTTAATTAACTTGACAATATCTCAAAAACTGGAACTGATAGGTATAGGGACATGTACTGAAGATTTGCAGTGAATTAAATTCTCTATCTAATAAGCTAATCAAAAAATGGGGTGTACCATTTAAAATTTTCGACTTTTTTGTAAAACAGTCGTTACATTTTTTAACACCCTGTATGAGATTTGAGGATATCCAAGGAGAAACTATACCAATTTTTAACTTTCTAGCGCAACCGCTCTCTGAGCAATTCACATTTAAAGGAGATAGTGTTAATTGCTAAAAGAAGCTTCTAATTAATATAACTCAAAAACTAAAAGCATTAGGTGTCTACATGTCTTATTAAAGTCAACATGTTTTTGTGTATAGAATCAGAATACGCAATAAAAACTATAACATTCTATTTAATATAACATATATATGTCAGTACTTTGTTATAGAACACTCTGTATGTATAAAAATATTTTTAGTTTATAATGTGGTAAATTTCCTATAACTTTTTTCTAAAGAAAAACTGTGTCTTGGTTCTTTAATATCATTTATATACATATTTTGCCGTATATGAATGTTGAGAACAATTTAAATATATTCCCAAGTAATTCTAACAACTGCACACAGGAATGCTAGAATGTCCAAAAAGAAGCAATCCACGCCACAACCTTCCCTTATATGATTTCTCTTTGCTTCAACTGCATGTACTGATGCTAATAATTGTTCATTTTCTATGTCCTAGGTGCAATTGAAGCAATCTTCCACTATGCAGGTTTTTAAGAGCAATATAATACTTTACCTAAAACATAAATTACTAATAAAAAGAATTTTTCTTATCCAAACTATTTTAGTGCTGAAAGAGTTATATTCCCAAAATATTAAAGACGCCACAATATAACGATTTAACCCATTAATTAGGTTTAGGATCAATTGAATTATGGTCAATAAAACAATATCTGCAGCCAATACTAAAATATCAAATTTTACTCAAATTTTCTAGTAATTTAATGAAAGGAATAATACTTAATAGTTTAAATCGTCATATATCATTTATATATCATCAACAACAAATTTGGTAATTAAAATATTAATTGTATTTAATTAATAAATATTTTATTTGTTGTTTTAAAAATTTAATTTAAGTGTAATTGTATAAAAATAGATTAAAATTGATATTACGTAGATGTTTCCGTGAAAGATAACGAAATCCGTTGTTTAAAACATATAAAAAACAAACAGGTGCAAAAGGTAAACAATATAACTTACAGTTCGACCACCCAGTCTGGTATATTATCCGGTACTATTGTTAGGTTCTTCTTATCACAGTGCACCAAGTTGCCCAAACATTTACAAATGCTTGGGCAGACGTCGCAATTCACCAATTGAACGAAATAAATAAATAATAAATAGGCGACACCCACCATTTTGAAATATAAAAGCAAAGAATTCAATTACCCATGGTAATTCACGTCGATTATCGAGTATCGCGCGCGAATCGTCGACTTTTCCATTATATACTGGTTGTTTACATCCCACAGACCTACTTAAACACTTATTTACGTTTGTTCGGAGTCGCTTTATTAATTATTTTTGATAAATTAACAACATACTGTATATCTGTTTAGTAGACAAACACTACTCACCCGTTTCAGGTAACGCCAACATTAGCGACATCTACAATTTCACCAGCTACTAACTAGGTACACCCCTTCTACAAAAAGATGGCGCCACCAGAAATTTTTTTGTACTCATTATGGAACAATCATATAAAATACAACATAATTATATGATTTAATTAAATAAAACAATTTTCAAAATGATAAAATTGTGTACTTAAAACATACTTTCGAAAATTTGGTAAAATCGGTGTTACCGTGTTACAATGTTAGCATATCCTCATCTTAAGTGGGTTTTATAACGAAAAAGAAAATAATAAAAAAAATTTATTCATTCATCCGTATAAATTACACGGGTTTCCTAATTGGTACTCATTTACTCCTTGGGTCGTAACGAGGCGTAGCTGAATATGTAGTTCGATCTCGGAATCGTTTTTCGCTCTAAATAGCTCTAAATAGTTTTAAGTAAAAAAATATATATCTTAGCCTCAGAAAGTCCGGTTTCGACCAATTTAAATAATTAGACGCTTCCATAGTTTAAATTATTTAAGCGTTAAAACGTTTGGGTGTTTAAACGTTTAGATGGTTGAACGTTTACATATATAAACGCTTAGAAGTCGGTAACGAATCGAGTGCCATAATTTTAAAAACATTTTTACTCGAAAAGTACCGTTTTAACAATAGGAAAAATTCAAAATAAAAGGCTACAATTAAAAAAGATCTTTATTTTTTTAATTATTTTATTCTTTCGATCGTACGAGCATATACAGTTCTAAAAAAAAAACAAAAAAAAATAGTAGCAGCCCGGATAATGTAGCGAATAAATTAATTACATTTTGAGTATTTCATATACGTTTACACAGTATGTACATTTTGTTGTTCCTAAAAAAAATCTAACTACAGTAGACTAGCTTCAGCTCGCGTGTCGTCGGAAAGAAGTGAGCCTATTCATCTCGCAAAAAAAAATGAAAAGATTGAACAAAAAAATAGATCGGAAATGCTCGAAATCTGCAAAAATAAATAATAACAAATAATCAAATAAAAGAAATAACTTAAATAAATTAGCGGGGAATTTTCTTTAATGGGGTAGTTCGGGGAGAGAGAGTCCGTGATCGAGCGTTGTCACTCGCGAAATTCGGTCTTCCTGAACATCTTTGGAAAGTTCGAAACCGGAACGGCAGTTTCACGCGATTTCAGTTAGACACTTTCACAAACTCCGCGTTGTCGTAGGCGGCCGCACCAAGAAAGGCCGATGCCCCTTTGCGATCGATCGCCCTAACCCTCACGAACAAAAACGCAGCCACCAGACTCGCCACGATAAGCACCAATAGCAACATGACCAAACCGGCTACAAAACTTGGAACCGACATACAAATTGTTTCCGAATCCGATGATGCAGATTGTATGACGACAGTTTCGTTACTTTGAGGTGGATTCAATGCGAAATTAACGTCTCCCGGAGCTACTACTTGAATAGTACGGCTAGTATTGACATCCGTCATATCTTGTGCTTCTCGTTTGTAAACGTGGCTCACGACAAAGTTTAACACTTCCGGGCTTCTCCTCCTCCTAACTCCTTGAAGATCCGAGAGGTTTTCTACAGATCTTGGTCTTCCTCCGATTGTAGCCAAATTTCCTTCAAATTCATCAGCAACTCCTTTTCTTTTAACGGTACTGTATGGCGAATGATGTCCTGGTAGTGGAGGTGGAGGAAGATGGATGTCGTTGCTGCTTTGTTGAGGTGCTTGAGGAGCTGGGGATGAAGGATTTGGAGGGTTAGATGTAGATGAAGATGTTTGAGCTTGAGGAGCCGGGACTACGTCGGGTTGATTTTCAGAATATGCCCCGGATGGACCAGAAGGATGTCTTGGATCGGGATTATATGCTGGTGGAACTCCGTATTCTCCTAATAATGAAGCACCATAATCTCCGCTAAGACCCGCGGTATGAGCTCCAAAATCTCCGCTTCCTAAAGCGTTACCAGGCGGCGGTCCATATTCTCCAACAATTCCCAAATCATGACCACCGCACTTCGGTTCTGCACAATTGTATCTACAGACTTGAATAACGCATTGGAAGTGTACGTTCATCGAGTCTGGGAATTTAAACGCTTGGAAGTATGCGAATGATACTACGGAAGCCGAGGAGCCGAAGTTCTTTATCTTTTGGAATTTGCTCATAATTTTCGGTCTAACGACGCAACCATTTGTATCTACGAGTTGAATTGGAGCTCGATTTCCATCATGGGCAACACAATTTCTTACTAACATATCGAATTTGTTCTCATCATCTTTAATCGCTAAGACCATCGTCATGGTTTGACCGATTTTCACGATCCCAGATACTTCAGAAGCCCAAGGTCCTTTTCCTACTTGAATCTGCATCCAACATTGCAAATTATCGCCGAGGAAGTTTGCAGTAACCGCATGGAGCATGTCGACTTGGAAAGGTCTAAATGTGACGGCTTTTTCGTAATAATCGTACCACGTGCAACGTAATTTTCTTGCTTGATCCCAAACTTCTTGGACGTAAGGATCGTATTGAATAATAATAGTATTCTCCACATAACTTCCACTCGGGGTTGGACCTCCATAACTAGCGGCGTTATGATTACCCGAAGAAGACATTCCACAACTGTTCAAATAAATTTCGAAGTTTACGCTGAGTTGTCCTTTTCCAGGTTTCAAATGGACGCAATGTGAATCACTGTAGTAACCCTTGGAGAAGATCATTCCGTAAAATGGTCGGTCGAATTCGATGTTCACCCTCATATGAGTCTTCTCACATTGAACTTGGAGGCCCTTAATCTGCGGCATTTCTGGTGTAGCTAATGGCCAAGCTTCTTCACCTTGGGATCCGACGTCCTGTAGGAGCCCAGTGCCAGGATATCCAGCTCCTGATAAGGGAGGCCCGTAGAGGTTGCGATGTTCCGCCGGAAGGGAGGCTGAGTCCGAAAGGGGCGCCTCGGCGGCGCTCTTCTAAACAAGACAAAGACAGAAAGAGTGAGGACGTCGCAAGGACGCGCCGAAGAGAAGCGGTTTACCTGCAGCAGGAGCGCGAACAGCGCGATCAGCTTCACGGCCGTGGTCATTCTTGCGGCTCGTCGCTATCAAATGCCTGCAATCAAAGAAAGGAAAGCGGTTCACAAAAAGAAAAGTGGTGGGGGATCCGCGGCAGATGTGGAAGAGAGACTGCTGCTAGCACCTGACAGAATTTGACCTACTAACACACTCGTCGTAAGTTCAGTGTACCGCGGACTCCAGCTTGCAAAAATAACCCCAAAATTGTATAAGATAAAAGAGCCAAAATTACATGAATCCCTCAAATTATACCACAACCGGATGTAGGTACATAAAGGGTCAGATACAAAGTATAACGTTTTTACTAATTTGAAAACGAAATTCGCAAAAAGATTATGTCATAAACTTTTCTGAAGTAGGTTTAAATCGAAACTTAATTTTGAAAATGTTATTAAAAGTAACCTAAATGTAATGTGGAGTGTGGTGAGGTCAGATTAAGACGTACTTTCTCTTCTCTCAAAATTCATTAAAAACTTTTTATTTTTTTGGAAGAGTCGTATACTTCGTTTACAACGCGTGAAAATACAATTTGTTGAAAGGTGTAATTAACGCGAAATGTTATAGGTGTAAAAGTAACCCAAAACAGGATGTAAGGGGTCGGATGATAACGTACTTTCTCTTCTCGAGTGTCGAATATTTTTTCGGTTAGAAACCCAAAAAATAAAATAAAAGAAGCCAAAAAAGGAGAAAAATACTTAACGTAATGAGAAAAATCAGTTTAATATCGGAAGAGGTTAAGAAGAACCGGCAAATCTAGACCGCGGAAGTGGATCATCCGACCGGCGATCTATGTTTTTAGAAAGCTCGTTGAGAGGCGGCCGTCCGCGTCCCTTAGGAAAAATTTCTCTTTCCATTGTTTTTGACAACAACACCATGTCAAGAAGATGTGACATCCGTTGATAAAATTTATGAAAACAATAAAAGAAGATTGAGTAAACATTTGCATTTCGCGAAGGTGCTTGTCCGAATTGAAGAGATGCGGCTGTGTACGATCGCCTGACACACTGACTCGTTCTACTTTAAGACGCTGTGTGCCCAATAATACAGGTAACTACACAGAGAGAGACGCGCCGCGTATCAAGACATCTTCCATCCGAATATGATTAATACTCACCGACACAAAAATATTGTTATCCGGGAAATATTCCGACACTAAGATTCCTTGGGCTTATCACTGACACTAACTAGCACATATCCGGCGACAACAGCCGCCACACACCGCCGGACTGGTGAAAAGTAATATAAAATCTTCCTGTCTTGGTTTTATATATATACATGTGAAAGTTGGCCCCACTCCGGCAATGGTTCTTCGCTTGGATGACGATGAATCCCAGCAACCAAACAAAATCATCTCCAATAAACAACTTAATACTTACAATTTATATTTGTATCTTCAAATTGACACTTTCTTTCAAAACAATTATAAAAAAATTTATATAAGTAACTATATTTAGTTAACACAATTCTTAATTTTGTTATTTTTAGTATAACAATAACATTATTTAAAATTAACTCATCTTGAATAATTTTTTTTTAAATTAATTTTCGTATAAAATACCTATGGATTACCCATACCGGATCTTATTATTTCGACTTCAATTTCAACCGGAATATAACTTTCTTTTGCGGCTTATAAGTGAATCATTTTGAAATACCCAAGAAATGTTTCGAGATTTTCTGCCTCCATTAGATTTCATCGACGAAACAAAACAATAAATGAAGAAATTTTTGTTGTAATTCTTATTATCTGCTAAGAATTTTTTTACAACATGTCGATGCAGGTCGAATCAATAATGACATAATGTTTTAAAAAGTGAAATGAACTTAACTAAATTGATTATTAATCAAATTATGCAGTTATTGAGTATAAAAATATGTTAAAAATTCTTTTCTCCGAAATGGATTAGAATTGAAATATGATGTCTTTTGGGGGTCATAAAGGATTGCTAGAGGATAGGTTATAAAAAATTTTAAGTTGAGCAATTTTTTTATGTTTGATATTAATGAAGTTGTACTGTATTGTATTCTAAGCAGAGGTATTTGCTATTGACATGGATGTAAAATCCTCCAGGCGCGGTGTTGGCTCCCGTTAATGACTATAAAAGAACATTAAACACACTGAGTTGTGATACCAGGTCATTCTGGGGTTGCTGGCAATGAGCTAGCACGAGAGAGCAGCGCTAAAGCATTTTTTGGCCAGAATCAGCAGTTGGTGTGCTGCTGTGAGCTGCAGAGACACCTTGCCTACTGTGGACCAGTTCTGGAATGAGACATGCTAAGGTGTTTATTAACATCGCCGCTGTCAAACTCGGGAATATTTTAAGACTTGCTCGTAGCAGCATTCAAGTTCTAATGGGTGTCTTTACTGGGCATTGCCGATTAAAAACACACCTCAATTGGGTCTAGCACGATTGCTATGTGCAGAGGATGAGGAGACACTTAACTATGTTTTATGCCACTGCCCTGCTGTTAATCGCATCAGATTCTTGATTTTTAACTTTTCACCGAGCAAGATATTGGACTGCACGGTGAAATTTGATACCGTTGTCTATTGGGGTACAACAGATCCTTAGGGTCGCGATGCAAGGTTGGTTTCATTATGAACTCTATTTTTAATAATAACGTTTGAAAGCTATCGACATTTGAATTGAAAAATAAAATCGTTTTGAGGTTAGGTTATGATAAATTTTAAATTTCCAGGTTACCCAACACCTTTCCTATCTCTTTTTAGATCTTGCCAACCTAACGAAGTATTCTCCTCTTCGTAGACATTTCATACGACTGATCGAATTTATAAAAAATAATATTTTTGGTATCAATAAAAGAAACAAAGTGTACAAAAGCTTTTATTACTTTATATTATAATAATAATTCTTTTAAATTCTAGAAAGTAACCCAAAATCGTTAAAGTCGATTCTAGAAATGGCATAAAGCGGAATCGTACCTGCCATATGCCGCGTCAGTTATTGTTCCCCCTTCGATGGAAGTATGCCAAAGTATGGCGATCGATAGCAATCATTTCGCCACCAAAATCCGGGACCCCATCCAATATCGTTATCGGGGTGTTGCACAAGAAAACCGTTTATGTCACCCGATTAGTCATTGTTACTTTCCAAAACATCCGGGTACCGCATTTATTATGAGTATATGGGCGCTATATTGTGCATAAGTGAAAGCCGATTTACGTCACCCGGTGTTGTCGCCGCTAATTTCTTTTCCTCAGTTTTCGTAACGCAATTATTCCACAACGTGTCATGTCTTGTTCACGACAATTTCATACATATTATAAGAACAATAGAAATGTGAGAAACACTATAACATCCTTGACGTATTTCCTTTTATCAGTGTTAATTCATTTCTAATAACCACGTTTACTTAAAATTACATAAACTTACATAATCATTATGATCATTTATAAAATATTTGTGTTTGACAGTGATAATGAAAATATAATATCTTATACACGTTTAGGTTCGAGTTGTAAATCAGAAGCATGTTAATTGTTTGAATTAGCATTCGGAACGCGATGGTTCAAACATCGTTTTGATTGTATGTAAAACTCACGTTAGTAATGTTTTACTTATGCGACACAGTTTTTGAAGCTTGATTGGATTCGTGGGTGCATTGTTTGCATACATTTTGTGAACCGGATCGGCGTTGACGCAAACGAATCGATGAAAGTGTCTCCAAATCAACGACGATTAACGGTATTAAATCAACTCTACGCGTTCCGACGGGGAATTGTTCGGAACCTTGTTACGGAGCGGAGTCAAGAGACACACCGAGAAATAGAGAAATCTAGGTTAAAGCTGTATCCGGATTCTATAGCTATATATGACCTTGGCACACGTTTTTGACGGATTTTTATCAGCTTTCTAACAGTTAGCAATTGAAATTAGTTCTATTTTTTTTGTAATATACATAAAAATGTAAAAGTAGATGAAAGCTTTTTGTTGCTTGGTAATATTGAAGCACTTCACTTTTGACTTCGAGTGTAAATATCTTGGAAACTCTGTATTAGCGCCTCCGTATTACTTTCTCCGGATCACCTTGAAGTGGGTCGAGCGAACCTTAAACTAGACCTTCACCTCACGGCCTCACACACAAGCCGGTCGAGAGAATCTATAGACGTTAGAAGGAAAGTTCTTCCCGAAATGTGAGTCAGGGCGTTACGAAACTACGGAGGAGAAATTCCTCTAAACTATATTTTCTTCTCGCATCCTGGTCCGGCAAAGTGAAAGTGACCGTTTTCGGACTCCCGGAGGTAGGCGGCTGCTACCTTTTTTTTAAGTCTCCGCCGAACCGTGTCAAGTCGGATTACTATTGTTCACCTCTTTCGTCTTACTCCTCCAACTTCTTGTTCCCGTTGAATCACCGCTTTCACTCGGATCCTACCTTCTTTAATGATCACAAAAAAACGACCTGCTAAACTAATAACAACATTTACAGTAAATTACTATTTTAGTTATGGTTTCTTTGAAAAAAATCGTTTATGGTTTTTGTCAAATAGAAATTTTTTAAACTATATTTCTTTAAGTTAATAAAAAATAATTATTTCTAAAAGAAATGTTGATTCAATCTTGTTTAATCGGAAGTGTATAATCGATACGAAACAGAGCTGGAGGAGATAAAAAAAGGAAATCTATCTTGCACTAGAAAGAAATTGTGTAGCGCATATATAGTCATGGCCAGTCGGTTCTGCTGACCTAAATTTCTTCAAACTTTGCGCTTCATACGGAAGAAAACACGACTCGGACATTAGTTCCAAACATTTAATCATTTTCACCATATTAATACTCCTACAACTCTTTTTTTTTTTTAATAATAATATATACATATTTAACTCATATCCAGTACATAGCCACAAAATTAATATTGGACAAGCAGAGAAAAGTCTGGGGAAAGATTTAGGAGGATTTCATTAATAATACAAAATCTAAAATTAATAAATATTAAGATATAAACTCAGGGAGAGATCACATTTCCAACATAAACACATTAAACGCCGATAACACCGATTTACGACGTAATAAACATAACCTCAAAACTATACAAGCATCCATTAAATTCAATATTTTTTAATAGCATTTGCGGTGAGATTTTAATGATTTAAATCAAAATCGTTTTTCTAGTAACGGCTAAAATTAAAAGTTATTTCTTACTCAATTAATTTAACGACGGGCTCTCCAAAAATTGATGTTAACACTTTTTCACCTAAATTTCTAACAATGGTGGGTCTGTTTCTTTAATTATCTCATTAGAAAAATGAGGAAATGCAAATGACAGTACATAAAAATAGAAAAACGTCAAATTAAGACAGTCCAATTATTTGAGTGGGAATAGGTACAAATTAAAACAATAAACAAAAAAAGTTTTAGAATCGGAGGAAAATGCAAAAGCCTACTTGCGCGATGCGGCGTGTTGATTTTAAAATAAGCTCTGCTCTAGTTTTTACGATTAAAATGGGTAGGAGAGATGCCTCTCCAATTACCTTAATAATCGCGATGTAATTTCTTTCATATTTCCTGCACGGACGGCGTAGAAAGTGTTTAGTAATCTCCGAAGAAGTGGTACGTCGCCAATGACCTACATTTTTTCTTATTTTGTACAGATTTGCTGCAATTTTATTAATATAGATAAATGATTACAAATCGATCGTGAAATTAATTGGTTTAACTATGGATTTGCGAAGACTTAAGAACTTCCGTGTGGAAATGCGAACTCCAGAACGAGTGTTCATCGGTCAAGATCAATTTAGCATTAACGAACAATCTTAGCGATGTTGTTCTCGTAACCTACAAATGCTCGATACATGTGTGCGTACTACACACCAGCGAATATAACTACGGAGAACGCTCCTTCATTTAATTCTCTACAAAAATTTATGTGAGCACCGTCAGCCTCTTTTTTCTTAATACCCACATACATATAAATATAGAGTTTGAGTATTTTTGTAACATAATAAAAGAAAAGAAAATATTAGATAATAATTGTGTTGTTTAATTTCTAAATCATTAAGATATCCGATTTAAAATCTTGTTAGTTGCGATTTATGGTATTTATGATAATTTATACAGGTGTAAACATGTAAATTTTCTTTCGGATCACATCATTTAAAAAGATGAGGACATTAAGATTTGAACTTATCTTAGCTGGTGCCATCTATGAAACATTATCAGAAACAACTTAAAATTAAAATTTGCGCCATCTACGATGTGGTAACTTAAGCACAACTATTGCTGCTGCATCTATTAATAAATAAAAAAATCACTCCAAGAATTTGAATGATAAAAAAATGAAATTCCATAATGCAGATTTTTGCATTAAATTATAAAACGTATTTATGTCTCTAAGACGCCGTTTCTTTTTAAGGTGAAGGTTGAAATCTATCTTTAAATACTTTGGCAAAGTCCCGTTTGTTTTTATTTACAGGATTAGCTAATAGATCCTTTTGGCCTTCAAATCGCAAATTGTCCAATTGGGTCGTTTTAGGGCCGCTGTTTTTTTCGGTGCGGGCGATTGCATATGCACTCGAAAAAGTCGCGTTCTCCGTCAACGTCTCGAATATGTTATCTCGCCGATTAACAAAAATTATTAATTTTCTCCCAAAAAGAAGCACCAATTTCAAACAGCAAACTCGTTCGTCGTCGATTCAACACTTAGAAGAGAAATACAGACAAACCAAAGCGTTGTGTCGATGTGAGTAAAATAAATGAGACCTCAAACCCTAACCTCACTTCCTGTTAACCTAAAACCAATTTGTGCCAGGACGGGAATAACCTAAGATATTCCAGCCAAGAAGTTACCCAAAGATGTTAACAGAACTGGAGTCTTTGCATGCAATGAATTGGATCTTAAAGAAGTTAATATTTATGGATTTGATTATGATTACACTCTTGCCCTTTATAAACCAACTATGGATTATTTATTGTATAACTTAGGGAGGCAGATACTCATTGAACATTACAAGGTAAAGTTTTTAATAATTATTTTTAATAAAAAACTTATTTATTTTTTTAGTATCCTAGAGAGATATCTCAGCTTGAATTCATTCCTGATTTTGCTATTCGTGGTTTACATTATGACATAGAAAAAGGAATCTTATTAAAATTAGATTCATTCTTACAAATCCAGCTGGGATCTGTTTATAGAGGCCTAACACCTTTATCTGATGAAGAAGTTTTGGATCTTTATAAAAATAGGATTATTCCTATTGCTTATGTCGAAGGAACTATTAAAGGAGAAAAAGTAAGTTTATTAACACTGAGTTAATTATACAACTGGTCAAAAAATGGATCTAATTGAACCTTATTGTCTGATTAATTATTGCAACTATTAAAACTGAAGAGTGAGGATCCAAGTTGGAGTTATACACAAATCCAGTTAAAATCAGAGAGCAAGAGAAATTATCAACTAAGGTTATTGCTTGAATATCAATATCTCTTAATGTATTGTATAACTATGGTGTTAGTAGTTAATGTGTGAAAATGCATGAATATGATAAACTTCCTTGGAGTAAATATGGCCCATATAAAGGATCAAACAAGGGTGATGAGGGTACAGAGATGTGAGACTATTATGTTTGTAATAAAATTGTTGCGAAGCACAAAAATATATTCCAACCTTTCTCAAAGTGATGGAGTATAACGATTTTTGATATCAACATTGGTACCACAACCCCACATGGATCTAGAAATTTCTAAAGGTTCCATAACAATGTCATTTTCCTAGGTGTGGCTATTAACTATTAACCAGTCATTGGCACCACAACCCAACAGATCTTGACCACTTTTAGAAATCTCTAGAGGTCTAATCAAAATGTGGTCATTATACATTGTTATTAAGCACTACCAAGATAGGTTCTTGAAATATTATGGTTTTTTTGCATGGCCTCTTCAAAAACTAGAAAAGTCTGAAATACATTCCAACCTTTCTCAAAGTGATGGAGTTAATTAGAAATATATCCACTTAACTGAGCATCAAAGATTCTAAAATCATTTGTTTTTGGACGATGGCTTTGATATTTTGTCATTCATGACTGAGAAAATGTGTCACTGAGCCACTGAATCGGCTGTAAATACAGAACAATAAACGTTTTCAAAGTTCTCTTTTTGGAATTAATTAGAAATATATCCACTTGACTTTAATATTTTGTCATTCATGACTGAGAAAATGTGTCACTGAACCACTGCCTCGGTCGCAAGCGACCTCGGCTGTAAATACAGAACGATAAACGTTTTCAAAGTTCTCTTTTTGGAATTAATTAGACATATATCCACTTGACTGAACATCAAAGAATCTAAAATCAGTTGTTTTTGGACGATGACTTTAATATTTTGTCATTCATGACTGAGAAAATGTGTCACTGAGCCATTGCCTCGGCCGCAAGCGACCTCGGCTCTAAATACAGAACGATAAATGTTTTTAAAGTTCTCTTTCTAGAATTAATTAGACATATATCCACTTGACTGAGCATCAAATAATCTAAAAGCAGTTGTTTTTGGACGATGGCTTTGATATTTTGTCTTTCATGACTGAGAAAATGTGTCACTGAACCACTGCCTCGACCGCAAGCGACCTCGGCTGTAAATACAGAACGATAAACGTTTTCAAAGTTCTCTTTTTGGAATTAATTAGAAATATATCCACTTGACTGAGCATCAAAGATTCTAAAATCAGTTGTTTTTGGACGATGGCTTTTATATTTTGTGTTTCATGACTGAGAAAATGTCTCACTGAGCCACTGCCTCGGTCGCAAGCGACCTCGGCTGTAAATACAGAACGATAAACGTTTTCAAAGTTCTCTTTTTGGAATTAATTAGAAATATATCCACTAGACTGAATATCAAAGAATCTAAAATCAGTTGTTTTTGGACGATGGCTTTGATATTTCAAGTTCTCTTTTTGGAATTAATTAGAAATATATTCACTTTGATATTTTGTCATTCATAACTGAGAAAATGTGTCACTGAGCCACTGCCTCGGCCGCAAGCGACCTCGGCTATAAATACACAACGATAAACGTTTTCAAGACGAGGGTAAAAACGAGTTTATACCCTTACTTTATAGACGAGTTTTAAAAAAAATAATAATTTCTAAACATTTTTTTTTTTAATATTTTTTTAGAACAATAAAAGTAAAATGATACAATTAGCAGATTTATTTTCCGTACCAGAAATGGGTTTATTATGTAACGTAACGGATTATTTCGAAAGGAATCACATCGATTATCACCCAGAAATTTTATTCCGCGATGTTCAAGTAAATTTTATCAACACCTAATTTAAGTAAACACCGAAAGTGATTAATTCGCTTTTTAGGATTCACTTTTTGATGCTCACTTAGAAATGCATAGAGTGGTACCGGAAAACGTCGCGCATTATCTTGAAGCGAACAAAAATCTTCGGTTGTTTTTCGACCGACTAAAAGCAGCTAATAAGAAACTTTTCGTTGTTACAAATAGTCCGTATAAATTTGTGTAAGTATTTTTTTAATTTTAATTTTGATGTTTTTATTGTTGTATTTTTTTTAACAGAAATAGAGGTATGGATTTTTTGGTAGGTCCGGATTGGAAAACTTATTTTGACGTAATCATCGTTCAAGCGAGAAAACCCCGATTTTTCACCGATGTATCAAGACCGATTCGTATTTACGACGAACGAAGTGGAATCCACATTTGGGATCGCGTTATTAAGCTACAAAAGGGCGTTATTTATTATGAAGTTAGGTTATTTAGTCATGTTTTTTTATCGTTTAATTTGGATGATTTTAGGGTACTGTTAAACAATTACAAGAACTTACAGGTTGGAGGGGTCATCAAGTATTATATTATGGAGATCATCCGTATAGTGATTTAGCTGATGTTACTTTAGAACATGGGTGGAGAACTGGGGCTATAATTCCCGAATTAACAGTAAATAAGTAATTTATGTAAAGAAAATTTTTTAATTTAAAATGTTTTTAGCATGAAATCGAAACGTTAAATAATCGCGAATTTAAGGAAAATGCAAATTGGTTGCACATGTTGACACAATTAATTGAAGATCACCAAGATTGTGAGGGTAAAGAAGAGCAATATGTGTTGGCAAAGTGGATGGCTGAAAGGGATGAGCTCCGTTTTAAGATAAAGACGGTGTTTAACGCGCAATTCGGGAGTGTTTTCCGAACGTACCACAACCCGTCCTATTTTTCACGGCGGCTTTTCCGGTTTGCAGACATCTACACATCGAACATAACAAATTTGTTGAACTACTCGGTTAATCATACGTTTTATCCGAGGCGAGGCGTAATGCCTCACGAATACATATCGTATTTTGTATAGGTTCGTTTGATTGTTATTGTATTTTTCTTAAAATATGGAAATTTAAGATGTATAGTAAAATTGAATTTTGTGTTCAGAAGTGCCTAAAAGTAAACGGCTGTGTTGTATCATACATTTATTTGGGAGAAAAGAAACTAAAAATAAAATCAAGAAGCTTTCTTTCAGTATTTTATATTATTTTTTTATATAAATGTATATGCTGAAATAAATGAATTAGAAACGATTTATGATGTTTTCTTGCTTTCTAGTTATTGTGTTTGGGTATATGAGTAAATTTGATGAGGTGTGTGTAAAATTGTGTTTTAAAAATTGTATGGAATGTGTGTTGAGGAAATGGTTTATAGATGGCGTAAGCGGTACGTAACGCCCCACCAAAACATTTGCTCCTGGTGGCAATATGAGTAAAAACATAGCAAATGACTAGAGACTGTCAGCGCTGGTAGGAAGTAAAATGGCCGCTGGAAGTGAATGAGGGAGAAAATTGAGATGGCTGTCGCGAAACCTGTCAAAACGATCATCAAAGGAACAATAAAAATCTGTAGTTTAGCGTGGATCGGCTTTGGGGATTCGGTTTGTTGAAAAAGTGTTCGCGTGTGTGGCGTAAGGACCGAAACAATGCGTGAATTTAAAGTAGTAGTCCTCGGCTCGGGTGGGGTTGGCAAAAGTGCGCTAACGGTGCAGTTCGTGTCCGGGTGTTTCATGGAGAAATATGACCCGACGATTGAGGATTTCTACCGGAAGGAGATCGAGGTGGACAGTTCTCCCTGCGTCCTGGAAATTCTGGATACAGCGGGTACGGAGCAATTTGCCAGCATGCGCGATCTCTACATCAAAAACGGGCAAGGGTTCGTGGTGGTCTACAGCCTGACGAATCATCAGACTTTCGACGATATACAGAATATGAAGGAAACGATCACCAGGGTGAAGGGCAACGAGCGCGTGCCGATCCTTCTCGTCGCCAACAAGGTAGACCTGGAGCATCAGCGCGAGGTCCAGTTCCATGAAGGTGAGTGCCTCGCCGTGGGCTGGGGTTGCCCATTCATCGAGGCCAGTGCTAAGAACAAGACCAACGTCAATGAGGTATTCGCCGAAATTGTGCGCGAGATGAATGTTAGCCCGGAAAAGGAAAAAAAGAGTTACTGTTGCTGCTCGATACTCTAATATTGTATTATACCTTCGTTTCTTTTTACTTTTTACCTTGTTTACGTTTCTTTTTTAATCCACCTTATGTATAGGACCATTGAGAAAATGCTCAGTTTTTTGTATACAAAGCAAAAGGAAGCACAATACCTAATATATTTTTATACATTGAACGAGGGAAACTATTTTTGTTTAAAACTTTTAAGGAATATCATATCTACCAGAAGTAAGAGGAAAATAGTGCCTGAATTAATTAATTCTTTTCTCAAATGATGATAAACCGGGCCTAAAAAACCATACAGCACGGGAGAGTCACTATGTAACGCAAAAGTGTATCCTCGTTTCACATTTTCCTTTCCTCTAATTCTATTTACTATTTTATAGTTTCACCGATCGGCCTTTTGTCACATGAGATATCACCGTTTTTATGTACTTGTATTGTAAAGTGGTCTAGTATTGTACATATTATACATACATATATATATATTTACATTGATTAGGTAATAAGCTAAAAAAATTCAGGAAACCGTGTTTTGTATAAAAAAAAATATTGATACTGATATATATATATATATTAAAACAAGAAACATTTTAAATCAAAAAGTGCGTATGCGAGCATGTTTAGACTAATTCGTGTCTTGTTTTTTGTAAGTAAATAGAGTGTGCATGAGTCAGGGCGCATATACACGGTACCAGTACTCGTATTTGCATTCACCGGTAATCGCATCGTGTAAATCTGTCCTAAGAGAGCCAAATACCAAGTTGTGATATATCTATTGTAATAAATAAATATTAAGTGGTAAATCCCCCTCTTTTTATTTATTTATCATCATTTCCAATCATTTACATTTTCTTTTTCGAGGGGGTAAGTATTAAGTATCGGAGAAATCTAGCCTAATTTTGTTGCTAACACGCTCAGTCGCCGCGAACACCTGTGAACGCCTCATGACGCAACACGGCACAATCGCATAAGAGCAATCTGGATTTGCGCTACAGATCTACGGATCTAGATAGCAACATTTTTTAATACTCGAAATTTTCTCTTCTACGTTTTTAATTTTTAATTTGACGCCCAAAACGCGTAGCCACGTTCGGCCTTCGATCGACGTACGAAGAAAGCGGCCCCCTTGACTCGTCGGCTGGAAACGGCCCCCTTATCGTCGACCCCGGGCGTCACTTTCTTTTTTGCACGGAGGATTCTACGCGCGCGCGCACGATAATTGCAAAACGGACCAGCTTATCGCTAAAATCGGCGTGTTGCAAAGTGTAGAAAGCTTCTGGATCATCCTGCTCGATTATTCACTCTTTATTAATAGTTTTCGTCGCTAAACAAACGATATTTCACCAAAAGTATATTTAATCAAATTAATTCAATATGTTTTAGAGAGACTTCCGTAATTGAGGCATAGGACAAACACAAAATGGCCCCTTCCGAATTTCTCGACGACCTCCTACCTGAATTTCGGGAGTATTTATTTTTCCCTTATCTTCTGGGGTCCTCGATAAAGCGGACGGGCCGAGACAAAATAAACACGTCGTTATTATTCCGATGCGAATCTCGAAATCCTGTGGGGCCCTTTTTCCTACCGACCGACCTTTCGGGTGACTCATCCTAGCCACGACAGAATTTCGAATTATTTTTAACATTACGCTTTTTCATAACGTTGGCAATTTCATGCAGTTACAACCATAAAAGATTCATGAAAATAGAATTTTTATTACGTATTTTACATTCTTTTTTCTTTTAATTTGATTTTTTTTGTCTCGAAAAAAGACGAGTAAAAATCTTGAACGCATGGGTCCCATTTGGTTGTTGGATAAGGGGAAGATAAAGGAACAGGCAACTTTTTGTCTGTGTATGCGTCGAGGGAAACGTTATTTTCTTTGTAGAGGTGGTTGTAAATTCCCTTTGACAGAATAATAAAATTTAAAAGAATAAAAAAATAAAAAAAAAGCGGGTGTACACAATGTCCTGGCGCATAATGCGTTTATTGTTTACGTTCGATGTCGATGGCTGGTGCACGCAAACACGAGCAACTCGACTCGAAGTGAGTCATATCAGTGTGTTAATGATAACGAGGTCTTTTTTTTTAGCTCTTCCTGGTGTTGATACGACCCGAAACGTAAAAGTTCATTCCATCACTATGTACACACACTATTCTTGTAGTAGTCATATACTATTCATAGCATTCATTCTATTCAAACATAATATATTATATTATTCATGATGTATTAACATGGGATTTAGCTTTTGAATTTGGAAATAAATCGAAATTGAAGACATAGAAGATTGTGTGTGTTTCTGATTTCACTTGCTAGTCACATTCATCACTAATTATAATTCAGCCCGAGACGTCCTGTTCCACACCGGGGCGGCGCAAACGCTTGAATCTGATGGAATCGTCGAAAATATCGCCGTTGGTCGGTGGCGGTTGCCGTACGACGAGGTTTAATGGGGCCCGCATAATGGCTTATTTATAAACGGACGCCCCGGTGACGCTTTGTCCTCCTCCTCCTCCTCCTCCTTGTCCCTCGTTGGGTTCTCGGAAACTCATCCGTCTCGGGCCACTCTCTGACTCTAATATGACTAATAGGTTTTCGACGTAAAAACGACTGTCGTTCGAGACTCGTTCTAACACAACGCCACGAGTCTTTTTCCTCGTAAAAGCATACTGATGCAATTTACCTAGCTTTTTATCTTTTTTGTTGTTTTTGTTTGATTTTTATTTTGTGAATCACGGAAATTGGTATCGATTAGTTGGCGGGCACGAGCGACGCCACCCTTTTCCTATCGGCAATACAGTGAGCAATATCTTGTCGCTTTGATGACGTAGAATCATAATGTAATCAACAACCTAATCCTTCTTTATTATTAAAGCAACTCATTTAGTAATAAAACTGTAATTCAAGACAAAGAAATTAAAGATAATAAAACATTTGTTCATGTTTCATGTACGTATATTAAATTCACATACACAACTGATTAAATTCATACATAACACTAAATAAAGATTATAATAATCAAAAACATAGACAACCAATTTTACACGAATGAAGTCAATAAACTCGGTAGCTTAGCAACCAATTTTATAGAGGCGTGCTTTTAATACATAATCAATATATTTATATTCCAATTAATTATTAAGACTACTATAATGTAATAATAATAATAATAATGTATACATATAACCCCAATTAATAACAAAAAATAAAGATAATATATATACAAATTAATAAAAAAGTAATTAATCAATTTTAGAATGTTTACTCATTTCGTGACTTTTCACTTCTAAATAAGTTTCTTCATTGAGCTTTTTTGCTAAGAAGTATAATTCGGCCAATGCGATGACTAGAGCGCAAATAATACCGAGTAAAAGTCGAAAACCGAAGTCTAAATTTCCCAGCATATACTCGAGACCGATAAATCCAAAAGCGAAGCCTGCTAATACTGAAAATATAAATTGGGTGACGGCGATCAACTGTCGATTGAGTTGTTTGACTTGGAACGCAATGGAATCGTCGGGATGACACTTTCTGACGCTGTCCACGTTCTTCGTCATGGATTTATAACGCATATTTTCTTGTTGGATTTTTAACGTGTTGCACCGCTTCTCCAAATCGGGATTTCTAGGAATGATGTTGTTTCTAGGAAGAACAATTTGAGATGTTTCTAATAATTCATGTAAATAAATTTTATTATCGTGCTTTTTATTATGTTCTTGAATTTTTTCGTATAACCAATGTATATCCTCCATATTTAACAATTTTCCGTCGTTTTTAACAATGGTTCCTTTGCGTAAATCTTTTTTAATACCGTTTTCGGTTGTTTTGTTTAAACTTTTATAATCCTTTTCAGACATTAAATATTGAAGTTCTTTAATTTCACCATTAACCACTTTCCTTTTTAAAATTTTTATACCATTAGGTGCCTTATCAAAATCCTCAACCGAATTTATAAATTCCCAAACTTTTTTGGATACCTTCACCGCCAACGCTGGACTTTGTATCCTACCAGTCGACATTTTATACTGAATTTCTTATGTAAAGCTTTTTTTCTAAGTCGCGATAAAATTCTTGTAGCTCCTCTTCTTTCTCTTCAAAAGTATTATCCAATCTTTTACACGTAAACGAGATATCATCGACAAATTTTTCCCATTCCGTATTTCGATTTTCACGGCACAACTCTAAAGCAATATCGTTTTTATATTTTTCTTCTAAAGCGTTGATTTTATCACAAATATCCAAAGAATTATTTAACACTTCCACTGTTTGCGATAACGTCGATTCTGAGAGTTGTTTTATACGCGGTATTTGGGTACCTTTTATATCTGTTATTTTTTCTAGGAGCGCAAATAAATTTTGAACTTCTTGATCACCTCTTATCGTCTATAAAATAAATTGAAAACATTATTAATAATTATTTTATTCAATCCTATTTATAAAGACTACTTATTTGTAAACATTATGAAATAATGTTGGTGTCAGCCTAAGTCGAGGCTGTACAATTAATTCCTTATCAACCCCGAACTGAACAAAACATTGCAACGCTTCGGTGGTAAGAAGGCTTTAATTAGAGTGGAGAATCTACGACTTTGCTCGCCTATGCCGAGGTCGCTTGCGGGCGAGGCTCTACATTTATTATCATATCAATCCATTGCGGGGTTTAAGCTTACAATGTAGAATTTCTGATTTCGCCTGCTTAAGCCGAGGTCGCTTGCGGGCGAGGCTGTACAATTAATATCATATTAACCAGAAATTAAACAACACACTGCAACGCCTCATCCGCAAACGACTTCGGGTTTAATTAGGTTGGAGAATCTATGACTTTGCCCGCCTAAGCCGAGGTCGCTTGCGGGCGAGGCGCTACAATTAGTATTATCATATCAATCCATTGCGGGGTTTAAGGTTATAATGTGGAATCTATGATTTCGCAAGCCTAAGCCGAGGTCGCTTGCGGGCGAGGCTGTGCAATTAATATAATATCAACCCCAAATTGAACAAAACATTGCAACGCTTCGGTCGCAAGAAGCCTCGGCTTTAATTAACGTGGGAAATCTATGACTATACCCACCTAAGCCGAGGTCGCTTGCGGGCGAGGCTCTACATTTATTATTATATCAATCCATTACAGGGTTTAAGCTTACAATGTGAAATTTCTGATTTCGCCCACCTAAGCCGAGGTCGCTTGCGGGCGAGGCTGTACAATTGATATCATATCAACCCAAAAGTGAACAACACAATGTACCGCCTCGGCTTTAATTAGGTTGGAGAATCTATGATTTCGCCCACCTAAGCCGAGGTCGCTTGCGGGCGAGGCTGTACAATTGATATCATATCAACCCAAAAGTGAACAACACAATGTACCGCCTCGGCTTTAATTAGGTTGGAGAATCTATGATTTCGCCCACCTAAGCCGAGGTCGCTTGCGGGCGAGGCTGTACAATTGATATCATATCAACCCAAAAGTGAACAACACAATGTACCGCCTCGGCTTTAATTAGGTTGGAGAATCTATGATTTCGCCCACCTAAGCCGAGGTCGCTTGCGGGCGAGGCTGTACAATTGATATCATATCAACCCAAAAGTGAACAACACAATGTACCGCCTCGGCTTTAATTAGGTTGGAGAATCTATGATTTCGCCCACCTAAGCCGAGGTCGCTTGCGGGCGAGGCTGTACAATGGATAATTACATCAGCACACTGCGATATGCAATGATAGATCCGCTTATTTAAACATAACATCTTTATTTCTGGATTCTGGAAGTAGTTACCAGCATGAAAGTGTTAAAAATCGAAAAAGCTTTAATTTTAATAATAACATTTCATAATAAATCTATATAATCTGATTTTTACATTAATTAATTTTTAAAAATTTCTCAAGATTAAAAATTTTTTAAAAATTTAAATAAAAAAATTTAAATTTGACAGATATCAAAAATATAACCTAAAAAAATTGGGTATGTTACTAATTGGTTCTCGTGACTAAATAATTTAAATTAATTTGTTCTAATTCTATTTTATTGGTAAATACTTAATATTTTAAATAATAATTTATAATTAATTTAAAGTTTCCGTCGCGTTCTTTAAAATTAACCTAAAAAAATCTTACCTCGAATTCCTGTAACGTGAACCTTATTTCGCCATTTAAAAACGCTTTGTGATCAAAAAGTCTGCTCCAAATAGTACCCACTTCTGTAAATACCATAAATTAATAATTAAATTGTTATTTTAGTCGTAAAATAGCGTATCAAACCTTTAACGATGTCAGACATACTTCTATTCGGTGTCACATGATCGGTTTGATTAAGTCTATAAAGAATTTTGCAATATTAAGTACTAAAATAGCTACGTTTTAATAATTTCAGTTATGAATGTAATATGTTAAAGTAAATAAATTATTTAAAATTTTTGTTTTTCTTAAAGAAAAAAAATCAATAGATGTAAAATGTTGATAATATAAATTACTGTATATTATCGGCTAAATTGACAGTGCCGGTAATTTGATCAGTCGGTATGGTAGGTTGTTGACAGTTTCTACGGATGTCAGTGATGGTCAACAATCCTAAAAAAAGTTGCGGAATTATGCGAACAATGTAAAATATCAATATGACGGTACGTTTGCGGGATATTTAAAAAGAAAGGGAACAGAACCAAATTGCACACGAAGATATCAACGACGTGATTGTTGCGGAGGCTTAGAATGTTTTGGCGTACGTACGTTCTGCGCGAGGTGATGAACTGAAATTCGATGCTAGTTTGACGTTTTTTGACATCATGCCTCATACTATACCTGTATCAGAGTTTGTTAACGAAACCAGGGAAGATTATAACTCGCCAATTACCTCAACGTTTGTATCTCGTATGCAAGAATGTAAAAACACTATTTCCTCGCTCGAAGAGGTAAGTGCCAAAAACTTTTTTTGTTCATAATCAATATTCATATCAAATATATTCCGAGTATTCGCTTTATTTAAAAAATGTTTTTAAACAATCTTAAATTCTCCGGATTTTTTGTTATATTACTAAACATTCAAGCATTTTTATATTGAATTATTCACCTAAAAATTATGTAAACCCAGGAAATGTTGATAAACCAATTTCCTCTATAGATTAAAAGTTATTTGAATTCAATATCGTCACTGACATGTTTATGTAACAAATTTCTTGCTCAACAATTTATTTTTTTATATAAAGCCTAAGGACACTTGTTTCAATCCATTTAGTACAATCATTCAAAAATGGTCAAGCTTCCACTTACGGATTGTATCAACAAGGTTTAATTGTTATGTTATTCTATTCTTTAAATATTTCATAAACAACCTGTTCAATTTTTAAATTCTTTTATATATATTCTTAGTGTGTATTCAGATTATCCTGTTATTGAAAAAAAAATTTCCAGTTTTTGCATTCGAAGAAATAAAATAAAGTGGAGTACAAAATCAAAGTTAATATAAGAAGATTGTAAACCATTGCAGGTAATCTGGTGTAATTAATAAATTAAATCATTTTTTTTAAGTGAATTTATAGTAAATCAGGTTATCTACAGTGGGTATAAAGTTCTTCCATTTATTTGAAATTGTTATTATATTTTGAGCCAAAACCCATCATCACTCAAATTATCAAAAATAATACATTGTGTCACAAAAGTCCAGTAAATAAAAACAGAAGCACAGAATTTGATATAAATTTCACACAAGCATGATTGGGGAACTTTGTGGGGAGTAGTACAGGCCTTACTCTCAAGATCTGACCACATGGAAAAGTCAAAGGAGTACTGCTAAACCATCTTAGCCTTGTACTTAGCATTGCATCTTAGCCTTATGGCAGGAATCCAATGCGCCATAAGAATTGTTCGCGAAATAATCTCGGCCGACTTCGAAGACGTCGGCCTCCCTAAATATCACGAACAGTACTTATGGCGGTCGACATCTTTGAAATAGGTCAATGTTATCTCTTTTGATATAAGAAATCTCGGCCGACTTCGAAGACGTCGGTCCTTTGGATTTTTGAAGGAGTCTTTACTAAGAATAAGACATGCAAGATTATATCCCAAAGTAGGGCTCCTAGACTCTTATGACACCCTGTAAATAACCAAAGAAAATTATTATAATAATTTATTTTTTGAATGATGGTTCTAAAATTAAAATCAAGAAGATTTCATTAAACCCATTTTCATCATTTTTCTCTTCATATATTACAAAACGTAATAATAACATTAGTAATAATAAATTTAATTTTGCAGACCTTAGATTACGACCGGGATGGGTTGAGCAAGATGCGCAAAGCCATAAAGGCAATATTAACATCAGGACAAAGTAAAAAACGCGTTCAATAAATTTACAAAAATTCGACTTTTTTATTAATTATTTTCAGATCATGTGGAGAATGAAATGTGTCTGGTTAGAGCGTTGGAAAAGATTAGTGAGGCATCGAAAGACCAGGACAGCGATATCGGGGCCGCTTTCCTTAAATTTTCGGTCGTAACAAAAGAACTATCGGCACTAATGAAAACTTTGATGCAAAATTTGAATAACATTGTTATGTTTCCGCTTGATAATCTACTTAAAGGGGATTTGCGCGGCGTGAAGGGCGATTTGAAGCGGCCGTTCGATAAAGCGTGGAAGGATTATGAAAATAAATTTGTTAAGATTGAGAAGGAAAAGAAACAGCAAGCTAAAGAAGCGGGGATGATTCGCACGGAAATAAATAGTTCTGAAATTGCTGATGAAATGGAAAAAGAAAGGAGGTTGTTTCAATTGCATATGTGTGAAGTAAGTTCTTTTTTTCGTATAATTATGACGCTCTAATACAATTTTTTTTAGTATTTAATTAAATATAATGAAATTAAAACAAAAAAAGGGATTGATTTATTGCAGAATTTAGTAGAATATTATCATGCGCAAACGAAGTAAGTTCTATTAAAACTTAATAAGTATTAAAATATAATTAATTCGTTTTATTTAAAGTTATTTTCAAGATGGTCTAAAAACTATTGAACATTTCGGGAGTTACGTAGCAGATTTATCGATAAAATTGCAAAAGATTCGACAGAAACACGACGAGGAAAAGCGCAAATTAACCGAATTAAGGAATTTGATTCGTACAACTCCTAGCATAGAAAAAGAGGTGGGTTCTTCTGGCGAAAGAGGTTCGGCGGGTTACTCTTTGCACCAACTCCAAGGCGATAAACTCCACGGCGTCACTCGTAGCGGACATTTACTCAAAAAGTCTGAAGGAAAAATGCGCCGCGTTTGGCAGAAAAGAAAATGTAAAGTCCAAGCTGAAGGTTACCTAGATATATGTCATGCTGATGAAAGCAAACCTCCTACCAAAGTAAACTTATTAACATGTCAGATTAAAGTGGTTCCAGATGATAAGCGATGTTTTGATCTTGTATCATGTAAGTTGGTTATGTTTTAGGTTAGATAAATAGCTGATGATGGATTAATATGTGAAAGGCCCATGCTCCAGCTAAAAACCCCAACTTTTTCAGGTTCCACTATTCGTACAGGTTTAAAATTTTTTCAGAAAATATATTCAAAATGGCTGCCACTTCCGGTTTACCGAATTTTGATAGTTTTTGCTCCATGTTTGTATTATTGTTGTGATTAGTTACATTTGACGACCTGTGTAGAGTCATTGAACATCATGGCAAATTATAAATATTTTGTATTATGGCGAATGTAATAAAAATTTCCTAATATGAGAGAAACTACAATAAATAGGTATAGGAATGTTTATAGATAATTTGTAGAGAATTAATTCCCTTTCGGGTAGGCTAATAAAATATAGGACGTTCCATGTAGAGATGTACAAATTACGTGAGTCACGCATGATCCATTAATTTTTGTACCACTCAACTTTGATTTCGACCTGGCGTGACCCGATTGGGCCGATTTTTTAATTTTTCTTTAATAATAACATTTTACCGAACGCCGAACAGAACGGTAGATGGAACAATAGCTTGCTTTGAGGTGAATTTGTTTATTTGTAAAAACATTCGATTTTCACAAATAAACAAATTTTATCAATCTTAATACGGAGGAGATGTGTGAGCACCTGTTTATAAACACGTTCAAAATTTCGACGCACCACGGCCAAACTAGTATTTCCTTTAAATTTCTGTTCTTTCTATTAAATAAAGTGATATCTTTCAAAATTTTTGGCTGCTAAACTATATGGTCCTCCAATTAAATCTTTTGCCTAAGTTTATAACGTATTTATTTACTTAAAAACACATTTGTTTATAAAAAATAAGGCCTGCTCTGTCCTATAAGGAACAAAGACGTTTGTAAATAAATACTTTGCGAACCCCAAACTCTGGCGTAATTTGTTCTGGTCCGCATTAACGAAAATTACTAAAACATAATATTTAAAAATTTAAATATTGTGTGAAAATACAATTTATTTAAAATTTGTATTTCTTAAATGTATACAATAGTTTAACAATAGTATAACTGTTTAAGTGTTTTTTTGTTTTTTTATGCGTAAAAAAAATATTTGCATAAAATAAAAGAGAAGTGCGCCCCTGCACTTAGTTCGTTACGATGCGACGGCCTATCATAAATCAGGTGTCTTGACGTGATTTATCCCAGCGATAATTATTACCAGTACTATTTCCCACGGTCGTAAAAATCATCAGAAATATCGGAAACTATACCACAATTTCAAACAACATTGATTTTTTTGACGGTCATAAATAAAAGTCGGCAGACAAGTACAGGATCGAATTTAAATTTGTTGAAACTAAAATTATTTTAAAGGCATTCCATTTAAAGTTATATTTAAGTGGCGAAAATATTTTAGATCAAAAGTTCCGAATGAACAATCCAAAATTTCAAAACTGTACGAATAGTGGAACCTAAAAAAGTTCTAACGAACCAATTACGTGAGACATATATTAAAAATAACCTCCTTGAAACGATTACTTTTTAGATAACCGAACTTACCACTTTCAAGCTGAAAATGAAGAGGATCAACATGCATGGATGTCAGTATTGGTAAATTGTAAGGAAATGGCGCTTATGAAAGCTTTTGATAATAGTAGTAAAACGGGTGGAGATAAAGTTAATCATAGTTTGATTGAGCTACAACAAACGATAATACGATTTATACAACGGATTCCGGGTAACGATCATTGTTGCGATTGTAATTCGCAAAATGATGCAACTTGGCTTTCAACTAACTTTGGTATCATCGTGTGTATTGAGTGTTCGGGAATTCATCGGGATCTTGGGGTTCACATTTCTCGGATTCAATCGCTGACGTTGGATAATGTCGGTACTAGTCAACTTTTATTGGCTCGATTTATGACCAATCAATCGTTTAATGATGTTATGGAAGCCAAACTACCCTATGGAAGTAAACTAACTCCGTCCAGCTCAATGTAAATATTTGTTGAATTTTTAATTATTGTATAACATTTATTTTTTTGATAATAGGGATGATCGTTGTAATTTTATCCGCGCGAAATACGTAGATAAATTATATGCATTAAAAACTTGTCAAACGGAACAAGAAAAATTTGAAGTTTTAGAAAAAGCCGTAAATAATGGAAATTTATTAGAACTGTTACAAGCTTTTGGCGAAAACGTCGATTTGAATGCTTTATATCCTACACAAACTTTCGGCGAAAAGATGACATCTTTACATCACGCCGTGTTATTAGCAAACAATAAAACGCTACCGCTGGTCGACTTCTTAATACAAAACATGTCGATACACGGCTTAAATCGACAAACGGGACGTTCGGTCATCCAGGAACGGGTCGGATTGAACACCGCTTTGCATTTAGCGGCATTTCGCAATCAGGTTGAATGTATGAAACTCTTATTACGCAGTGGCGTCGACACCACCGTGCTCAATTCTCAAAATAAAACTGCGCTGGATATCGCTGAAGAGCACGGACATCATGCCTGCCAGGAATTACTACAAAATGCTGCCAATCGACAAAAGAGCTTTTTTGACAATATTAATATAGATTGGAATCTGTCACATGATGATGGTTCTACTGATTTTTCAGATGATGAAACTATTATTGATGATAGGGTAAGAATGACCTTTAATAATTTATCTGAAATTATTTATATTTATTTTTACTTTTATAATTAGAATGGTTCCTTAACACCAGAGAAGAAGAATAGATCGAGACCTCCTAGTTATACAGGAGGAGGTGGTGATTCTCCAATAACATTGCGGTCCAGGTCGTCAACGTGCGATAGCTTACAATCAGGTAGTAGCGTAAACAGTAACACGAGGCAAATGCCTCCACCGCCACAGCCGTCTAGGAAGCCTGTGATTGGTATGTTGCACTCGAAAAGCGATCGCTGGGCGAATAACCGCAGATCCGCTGATCCAATCCAGCTCTCTTGCTTGCGAGCCGCACAGGGTTTTTACCCTTCTGTGTACCAAACGGGCGACCTCCGCATGGGCTTTCATTCGATGTTTAATGTGCCTTATAAAAAAATTTAATTTATCTGAATAAAAATATGTATTCTTTCATTTTTATTTAGCAAACGTACATGGTAGTTTGAAAAAGAGAGTTGCACCTCCACCACCATCGTCAAGTATGGGATCGGCTATGTATGGAACATTACCAAGTAGTCACAGCAGGACTCCTTCAGATCCAGTTGCGGCGGGTTATCACACGTTAAACCACACGCACAAACGGTCCCCTAGTAGCGATTCCAGTTCGGGTGCAAGATCTGTGATACATATGGGTACTAAAAAATTTCTTAAAACAACATTATTTTTTGAATGAAATTTTTATGATAGGAAAGCTAGTCATATCTCACGATCCAAAAATAAAGAGGCCACAAAATCCGCCTCCACCTGCTCCGAGTCCGCGATTATCGAACGGACGTTCCACGGAAAGTATCTCATCGTTAGGATCTGAGTTGGATCCGATGCACAATCCAGTTCCACCGCCCCGACGGGTAAGTTCCCTAAAATATTTTCAGTTTCATCCAAACTTTCCTAACAAATCCCATCAACGTACGATACGACTAACATACAACTCAAAGGTCTTTGTTAGATATTGAGGTTAGTTGTTTGCAGAGGAGATGCAAAATTGGCTTGGAAAGTATGTCGGAACGGAATGACCGGGTAAAAGACGTTTTTGTTGCATGACTTTGACGTTGCGTGATTACCTTTCTTGAACAAAACTAACAAAATTTAATTTCCTGCCATAATAGGAGTGTGCTTGTATAATTTTTTTGTAATATTCATTAAAAATAATAATTTATATTAATTGGGTTTATTAAATTGAAGATCAATAAAATGAAATAATAATAAAACGTTTAAGAGATGTCTTATATGAGTTAAAATGCATGTCTTTTTATAGCTTAGTTCAAATTAGGCAATTTCTTAGTTCTTCATTGTGTTGGATAAATGATGAAATAAGCTTAAGACATGTCTTACACTGGTCGATATTCTATATGATTCGAATGCGCATGTAATCATCAAATTAATCCTTTTTGGTGTGAAGAATTTTTTTTAATATTTTCTTCCCTTTATTTCTTCCTCCTTTAGTTGTAATAATAATAAATAATTTTAAAAATGCGGGTTTTAATAGGCTTCAGATTCGCCACCGCACAAGTTAACATCAAGTCCGATTTTGCTTGGTTCTGTATCGTCGTCTCAAAGACCAACTGTAAGCAGGACTTCTTATACTCCAAATGGAAGCGGTTTGAGAAGATGCAGGGCTTTGTATGATTGTCAGGCGGATAACGACGATGAGCTGTCGTTTAAAGAGGGCGAAATAATAATAGTTACTAATGAACATACGGATGATGATAATTGGATGGAGGGGATGGTGGAAAATGAGCCGGTTCGTAAGGGAATGTTTCCTATAAGTTTCGTCCACATGCTCCAGGATTAAATAAGCGGCACGGATCGACCTTGTAACGTTAACTTGAATGTTTTTTATTGTACGCCGCACTGGTTTTTAATTCACGTGTAAGGTTACAAGCGCCTGCCATACGTTAACTACGGCCATTGTTAGGTATTTACCAGGATTACGAATTTTACTTCCTATCGTAAACTGCATTTTTTTCTTCTTTTTTAATTATTTTTTTTAACGTTTACTCTTCATTTATTTTTGCTAGTCATTAAGTTAATTTTTTTTAATTAATTTCCCGGTACGTTTATGTTACGATGCGAAAGATATTAACCGTTGATGATATCGGTATTGATAGTTATTGTGATTGTTTATCGTGTAGCTTTCCGTTCCGATCCTGTCCTCGAATGTTCAATTCGACTGACCATGTACCTAAACTTAAAAAAAAAGCGCGGCGACGCAGTAGCATGTTTGTGTTTGGCCTTGCGATTCGCTCCTCCACAAACCATCAACCCTTTTTCCTTTAATAGATAAGGGGCAACCAAAGAGATGTTACGCAACTCGACCTCCTCCAAATAGTAATTTTAGTTTCTCTAATCGATTTAAAATAATAAACTATTTTGTACATAATAATTTTTTTGTTTAGTTTTAAAACGTCGCGTTATTTATTTATTTCCCACGAAAAAGGCTCGCACCCTTTTTGCGGTTTTCGTTTCTCACCAACGAACAGTATTTTTTTCTTTATTATTTTGCAGTATTCAGAACCGCACAAACATGCTAACCGATGATACAGAGAATAAAAAAAGATGTTTTAAAAAATAAAAAAAGAAAATTATAGCTTTTGATGTACGTTAAACATATAATATATATTTAATGTAATAATGTCAAAATGTATGTAGATATTATAGAAAGTATTGAATACAATTTTATTAATTACTTTCAATTTTATTCCAAGTTTTAGATGAAGAGAAACGAAAACAATAATTCTATATAAAACAGCTTATTCAATTCAGATATAAACAAGCATCAATCATAATTTGAAATATCTCAGTTAATCAAAGATACTAGATAAGATAGATTTTTAGATTATTTTCAACCGACTATAAACACAAATACTGATTGTTGATGTAAATTAAAACTAAAAATGAGTCCTCCAGTATGTTTTTGTTTTTTATTATTGTTTTTTGCTGGATCATCAACTTTTATGAAACTCCCAAGGTCACAAACACTACACTTTTAGTACCTATTATGTTTTAATAGCAAGAAATACGTTTTTGAGGAAAGAATTTCATCATGATTAGAACTTAATCATGCCCAGATGATTCATGTCGAAGTTGAATTTATATTTCGTCATCACTTAAAAGAATTTGTAATACAAAATCGCAATCAAAAAAAAAATAATTATATATATTTATTTTTTATATACATCGAATTAATATATCTTCATAGATTTCTCAAATAACCCAGCAAGATCTTCCTCGGATTGCGGTCTGGGTGCCATCTTTGTGATACGTTCCTAACAAAAAATAAATTATTATTAAGATAACATCTTAAAAAAGTCAATTATCTATATCTCTACATTCGATAATAAATTTAATCGTCTTTTAATTCCTTAAAAAAAATTACCTGTGGTAAAGTTCCCTTGACGAGTGCTGGAATGTCCTCATTAGTAAAACCCAAAGCCTGTAATCCATTTTCAATCTTAATCTTATCCATATACTTCCTCATAACATCTGATAAAATAGCACCAGCGTCGGCTCGTTTTGCATTTGAAACATCGACGCCTAAAATACCAGCGGCTTCAAGATGTTTTTCGGGACATGATGGTCCGGTAAAACTAAACACGGCCGGAGATGACATGACGACGGATAAACCGTGAGGGATGATGGCGTGGTCGTCATCGTAACCATCCGGTTTAAAAGATCTAACTAAACCAGATATTGGATAAGATAAACCATGGCAAAGATGAACACCTGCATTTCCAAATCCCACTCCAGCCATGGTGGATGCTAAATGCATGTTTGATCTTGCTTCTAAATCGTCAGGGTTAAAAACGGCCCTTTCAAAATACTTGGAAATTATGTTTAAGGCATATCTGGCCCAAACGTCCGAAACGGGATTTTGTCCTTGGTAAGGTGGTCTTAATTTGGGATTTGTTGGGCAAGGAGTTCTTTCGTTGTATGGTATCGCGGTGAACGACTCTAAAGCATGACAAAAAACATCAAAACCGCTGTAAGCAGCAACTCGTTCAGGTAAGGAAAGGGTATGAAGAGGATCAATAATTCCCAAAATAGGTCTAAGAGCCGGACTAGAAATTCCAGTTTTTGCTTTCAATTTTTTCAAATCAAAAATGATTATTCCCGTTGATTCGCTACCTGTTCCGGAGGTTGTTGGAACTAAAATTTGTATTGAAAAAGTAAATTACAAATATTTGTTTAATAAACGTACTGGCAATCATCGGTTTTAATTTTGCCGTAACAGCTTTTGCTTTTCCAATTGGCGCATTAACGTAATCTAAAAATTCCGCGTCAGGATCGCAGGCGTATAAATTAGCAGCTTTGCAAGTATCGATAACAGATCCGCCTCCAACCGCTAAATAAGAATCAAAATCCTTACTTTTCGCGAAATTAATCGCATTTTGCAAACTGCGCAAAAAGAATGTTGGAAACTTTAGTAATTGTTATAAATTCGAAATTTAAATGAGGTAATGACGTAATTGGTTTTACCTGTAATCGGTGGGTTCCACTCTGACGTCATCAAAAACTTCATATTTGACGCCGTTTTTCGTGAGTGAATCTAATGTAGTTTGCACTGGTTGTAAATTAACCAAATTTTTGTCTGTTAGAACGCAAACGTAGTTGGCATTCCTATTTACTAAATCCATGCCAATTTCCTTAGTCACTCCGGGCCCATACCGTATTGTTGACGAAGTGACCTAATTCACAAAAAATTAAACAACCTGACAAATAACGAAACAAAAATTTACTTCGAACGCATATTCTTTAGTAGGCAACGCATTTGGGATCGTTGCGTGATGAGCTGTTTGAGAATGTGCCGGACATTTACACCTAAAATCCGCAAATTTAGTTTTCCGCGAAATTATTGTTTCTACTTACGAAGCAGCCGTGATTGTTTGCATTAAATTTATAATCCTACTCCTTCCAGCCATTTTAACGGACTAACCTAAAAAATGTCTCGTAATAAGCGGACTTTGCTCCAACATTAAAAGTCTCCTTATCATTTATTTATTTCCATGATATTCATTCAAAATAGATTTTATCAAGTAAATGATTTTATTAAAAAAAAATATTTATATATTATATATTTATTATTATTAGCACCTAGTTTTATTTTTATCTTATCGCTTTTACTTTGTTTCGCTAGTAAATAAGTGGAGTTGCTTAAAAGTTGGAGGTGTTTTTATTTTCTGATTTAAAAATACTTTCTTGGTAGCCGAAATATCTGAATATTTCCGATAAGGATTTCCAAAAAAAAACACGTTTACTGTATTCCACAATATTATCGAATATGTCGAATAGATATTTCAAGGTTAAGGCGTATTAATATGCTAGGAGTGATTCGATTAGTCACGACCTCCTTCGATAAATTGTGCCAACTGGAGACTTAAGTATAGTACAATGCAATTGATTATGTTGGATTATTAAAAATATACTAAGCGATCTAGATTGAGACAAACATTTGGGGTAGCACATCACGTAGTTCGATAAGATCGGTTTTGTTGACAGATAAACAACGTCGTGTTCCAGAACAAAGACTACAAGGCTTATCTTTAGTTAAATGTTACTTTATTAAGTCTGGAATGTACATAGCTAGAAATTATTAATTGAAAAATACCTCAACGGATCATTTTTTTGGTTAACGCGCTAAAAATACTAGTACTTAAGTATCGACCCTAAATTTATGCTAAATTTAATCTACTCGTTTTAAATACGCCTAATTTTATCTTAATTTATTACGTAGTAACACCAAAAAAAAATATATTATAAAATTTTTATTTTTTGGAGTTGGACGACTATAAAAATTGCGTTTGATTCCTTTCAACCCCGTTGATAATAATTGAAGATCTAGGGATCTCTTCGGTTAAAGGTTTATAAACAAATCCGCTATGAGTTCCATTTTTCCATGAAAGGTTGATATTTCTTGGTAGATGACCACGTTTCCTCAGAACGCATAAAATGATGTTGGTAACAACCAATAAAACAAAGAGAGCGGTTACAACGAAGATGAAAAATGGCCACAAGAAACTGTATCTGTCATTTTTCGGTATGTACGAGCTTTCAACATCATCGAAGCCAGCAAGTTCTTCGTTATCATCGAGAATGTACGGTCCGAAAGTATCATCATCGATGGGGATATCATCTTCGTTCTCTTCATCTTCATCATCATCGTCTTCATCTACATCGATATCCGCGTCGTCATCGCTGTCGTATATTTCGTAATCATCATCACCGCAGAGTTTTCTCCAGTAATTGTCGATATAATCTTTGGTGATTTCTTCGAAATCTTTCATTTCCATATGAGTGCCTAACGAAGAAGGTTGAACGGATTTCTTTTTCAACCATTGAATAGAATCATCTAATTCCGCGGAGCAATTGAAGGAGTTATTATTGACGTTTAAAGTCTTCAAATTTGGTGTTACTTCCAATTCTTTTCTTGTAATCACTTCTAAACGATTATCAGCGAGGTTAAGTACTTCTAAGTAAGGAATTTTGAATATGGTTGGTTCCCAAATAATTTTCAATGCGTTATTGCTTATATCTAACATTTTTAAGTCGCTCATGTGTTCGAAAATCGTAGGATTTAACACGGTGATTGTATTTCCAGCCAAGTTGATGTTTGAGAGTAATACGTTGTTTTCGAATGTGTGAAGCGAAAGGTTGGCGATCATGTTGTAAGAAAGATCTAATTTTTTTAATTGAGGAATATAACTGAGCATCTTCGGGTTGATTTTTTGGAGGCGGTTGGTTGATAAATTTAAAGTAATTAATTTGGGCATGTGTTCGAAAACGTTTTCGTCTAAATTTTCCAACCCGCAATCGGAACAGGAGAAATAATTGGTTTCAAAATTATCTTTGTAGCTGCGGAACTTTGGTAAGATTTCGAATTCATTGTAGTCGAGATAAATCGTCTGTAGGCGGGTATTGTTTAAAAAGATGTCCCCAGGTAATGTTTTAAGTTTGTTGTGGGCGAGGTTTACGTACTCCAATTCAGGCATATTTCCGAAAGTAACACTAGAAAGTTCGGTTATTTCGTTATGGCTTAAATCCAGGTAGCCCATTTCTGTGAATTTTCCACCTTTGAATTCAGACAAACTACAGTTTTGAAGAACTAATTTCTCTACGACCGATAGCATTGAGGCGTTAATTTTTTTAATAGGGTTTCCGCTTAAATTTAAAGCTGCTAATTCTTCGTTTTTAATAAAAATATTGTGGGGTAACTCCGTGATTTTGTTGTATGACAAATCCAACGTTTCCAAGTAGAAGTTGTTATGGAAGGTTTTCGGATCAATTTTATCGATTAGGTTGTTCGTAAAAGTGATGTCGGTTAATTCGGGCAAATTAATGAGACTTTCGTCGGTTAACTCCTTAATGTGGGATTTTGAAATTTTAATGATTTGAATTGATTCGGATTTGAAAGGAATAAATTCGTTTAGGAGGCATCCTTCGATGGATAAAACTTGTAATTGGGTGGCTAGGACAAAGGAATCAGCGGAAAGGCTGAAGGTGACATTCGCGAAATTTAAAACGCGGAGGAATTCAGCTTTTTTAAAGGCTGTGGGATCGATGGCGTTAATTTTAAGGTTTTCAAACGAGAGCGTTTCCAAATGCGGTAGTCCTTTTCTGTCGAAGAATTTCTCGCCTATGACTATTGGTTGTGCAATGTTTCGTAGACGTAGGTGAAGAACATCAAATTCAAACATTCCGTCATCGAGGGTATCGCAAGTCGCCGATTGGGAGGTGCAAATACACGAATTTGGACATGGGCTGGTTCCATGGGCGGCGAAGGCGCCGAGGGCCAACAGTATCAACGTTAGCAACATCGTTAGGAGCTTTGGAAGAAAAACAAACGAACAAAGTCAGATAAATAACATTCGAGATAACTGCGAATCTTTTGTTATCGGGATTTTGAAAATAGTACGATGACCTTGCCTTAAGTGTTATGTGCGCACACGGGCAGGTGTTACTCACGGAAACGAAGGACCTTATTACATTTAAGAGGTATTGTTAATAAGGCAAAGGAATAAAACAAAAGTAAAGTAGTTTTTCCTACTTACCTAGCGACGTTATCGTTCCAACTTTCAGGTATATACTAAACGAATAAACGGCTGATCTACAACGAATTCCCCTCAAAGATAACGTAAGTATGTGCTACAAGTCTACTTATGCGCACAGGTGATGTCTGTTTCCGTCACTGTTTTAGCGTATAGTTCACAGATGTCAGCATGGACTTAATAGGTGGAAGGTGAAATAGGTGGCGGGGAGTTTCTGGAAACGATTTTTCCAAGAACACGCAAATACTTTCGTTTACACCAAGTTTTGCAATATTTACAGGCTTTCCCCACTTTTTATATAACACTTCACTTACATTTTTTAATTTATTGTTTTTACGACTATCATTTCGAGGATATCAGTTGTTTACTTGAAACAGTCTCATAACACAAATAAATGATTCGAGAATGTAAATATTGTGATGGAATTCATTATATAATATTATTTTTTCTCTTTTCTTAGGTTGATTACATTTTAAATACGTAATTAATTAATAATGGCGAAAAAAAGGATGATACTAAAAAGTTAACTGAAGTCGTTAATACAAGTTTATACTATTAAGATGGAGATGGCGTAACTAAGCGTAAAGAGCGGGCGACTACCTGTTTGAAAGTTTTTAAGGAGTGGAAAGCCTGATGAGGTGATTCTGGTGAAATCTTTGAAAAGAGAGGCGAGAGGAAACGGGGGTTTGGTCCGAAGGATACGTAACGAAAGGAGTCCGGCGAAGAGAGTTATGAATCGAAACGGCTTTTTTTGGGAGACCAAAATTTCTCCAAACCGAGAGGGGATTAGCTGCAATTGTCGGATAGTACGGCAGTGTTCGATGCCCCACTCTCGCTTTTTAATTCTGACCGTACGGTTCTCTGCCGGTAGCCAGTCGAACGTGGGCCATTCGCGTACGCGTAAACCCGCGGGCATTTCGAAAAGATAATAAAGTTAAAAAGAAGGTAGAAAAAACGGGGCCGATTACCTGTACTCAGTACCTCTGTCTTCACTAGACACCGGGCTTCTTAACATCTGCTAAGACTGTTTAACCTCAACATTAACCTGTACTGCCAAGATCTACGTTAAAAGGTCAGTATTTTCGCACCTTTTTATAAATTTTATCTTTTAGGAGTTCGGGGTCCTTTCGGTTCGGTGTCATGCGAGGTCCACCGACCAATAAAAGCGTCCTGAAGTCCTTCGCGACTTGAAAACAGGCAACACGTGCTCTCCGTCGTCCAACCGTGTGTCGGGGGAACGACAATCGTTTCAACTCGACCCGTTCTATTACATATTTATCAAGTATGACCATGTATAAAACTATAATTTGATTGTCCGGTCCGGTAAAATAACAGATTTCTTTATTATTCAAATTCAAACTCAAATTTATTTATTATTATTTGCAAATTGTTCTTTAATTTTTAATTCCCACATTTTATTACTTAATTGTAATCAAATACCTTGCAAATAACCTTTGGATGGTAACTTATCGGGGAATTATACACCCAATCGCGTAACAATATTATTAAATAGATATTTTCCCGCGTGCAAACGTTTCAAGTATTCGATTATATAACGGTTGTCCTTCGTCGGTAAAAATTAGCCACCCGATATCACAGGAAGTTCCCTAACGAGGATCGCGTTAACTAAAAAACCGACCGATGCAATTTTAATATTAATTTTTTCATAAACTCAATTACTTGTTTACGTAACATTTGAAATTTTCAAATTTCGCCAATTTCAACTAACTGATTTAACGAAGAACCGATAAGATAATGACGTAATAATGTGCTTTAATTACGGGTAATAAGACTAAGTAATTAATTTTTGTTTAAATAACATTTAATTTTTTTCTACAAATTAAATCTGGTCTTATTTAACAATTCTATCTGTCCATAATCATTAAATCTCACAGATTATTATCTTAAAGACTTAGAGATATTAAGATTTTTTTACTTACTTTAAAATATTATTAAACTTGAACTTAACTTGAAATTTAAATTTAACAATATTATTTCATCACAATTATTTTTATTTTTCAAATATAATTTTTATCCTTTTATTTCAATAAATCTATGAAAACTTACAATGGAACATTCTATATTTATATAAATTTTTTTTTGGATTCCAATTGTTCATTGTTCAAATTTGATTGTTTCAAATGAAAATTAAATTTTATCGAATTTCGGTTATCTCGTATTACCTCGAAGTAGCGAGTCATCGGATAATTTCCAAAGTGTTAAATTCGCTTGCAATGTCTTATCGCGCCGACTCCGTCGTCTCAGCAATCGATGCGCTGTCCACGTGCCTATCGAAAAGTAATCCTGCGCGTGGCGTTCTCTGTCTCTCTGGGCGAAATCGAACCCGAACAAACAGTCTTATCATCCACCTCGTACGAAACGAGGTATTCAGTCTCTCAGCGGCGTCAGGACGACTCGGTTCGCTTTTGATAGTCTCATCGGTGAGTTACGTAACATGGCCAAGAGACGTCGCGTGGCCGAACCGCGGAAGTGCGACATTAGGACACTTAAGTCCTCTTAAGGCGTACCGGCCTTTACGCGTGACATTGGCCGAGTTTCACCCTACGTCCGTATCAATGTATTTGTTATCGAATTTACTTATTGTTTCAGATTTGTCGAAATGTTGTCCGCGGTCATCCTGCCGCTGCTTGTTGCCATTGCCACCGCAGCGCCCGCTTCAGACGTCTGCCCAGAAGATTGCAAATGCCTCCCTAACGGAGTTAAAGAAATCAAAGCTGCCTGCATGTCCATAGATTTTTTGGATAAACTCCTTCCAGCTCACATCAATCAAATCACCGACTTAGATTTATCCGAACTCTCATTAAAAGCAATTCCCATCAAACTTAAGAAGCTGAAACGTTTGAGAAAACTCGATTTGACCGGCAATCTTCTTTCTGACCTTCACGACTTCCCCAACCTTCCCAAACTGACTCATCTCTCTTTGAGATCCAATAATCTCCGAACACTTTCCGCCAAACGCCTTCCTCACTCTGTGATTCAATTAGACGTGTCCTACAATCATATCACTCACGTCGAAGACTTGGAGAAGTTGAGTAAACTTGAAAAAATCGATTTAAACGAAAACAAGATAAACTGCGACTGCAAATTCCTCAAGATCCGGGACACTCTTTCTAAACACAACGTCAAGTTAATTTATCCCACTAAGTGCTACTCTCCAAAGAACGTTCACGACATTCCACTTTTACACGTTTATTGCGTTAACAACGCCGTTTTATTTGATGATTTCCTGCAAAATGACGAACCTAAAGACGACATCGAGGAAGAATACGTAAAATCAAACGTCGAGTCTGCCCCAGCAACCGAAGATGAAGATGGGAGCGGTTCTGGAGAGGAACCCATGATCTTTGAACCACCTTCGGGAGTACCTCATTGCGTATTTGATTGTTCAACCCCTGCACCTCACGAACCAAATCAAGCTAGAGGCAACGCCCCTGTTGAAGCACAACCCGAAGAATCGCAGTCAACAGATGTACAATCAAAAGAAACACACTCAACAGAATCGGATTCAGGAGAGAAAAAAGAAGAAGAAAATTCTCACGTTCCCATTCACGAAGAAATTCCTAAACAAGAAATTGTTCCTGTTGGTGCTGGTAATGCAGGTAGAAAAATATCTTCTGATGTCGAACCAAAAGCTGATATAAAAGAAGGAGAAGTACAACCGGAACCAAAGAAAAGTAACACAACTTATATCGTTATCGGTACCCTTTTGGTTGTGATGTGTGCTTTGATCGCGTACGCGGTAATTAAGAGAAGAAGGAAGAGGAATAGCAATAAAGACGAAGAAGCGAACAAACGCCCACCGGTTGAAATGAAGCCGTTGATGAAACCCAATGGAAACGAAGCTTCTCCAACAATTCCAGAAAAAGTTCCTTTAATGAACGGTCAAAATGGTCATACTGAAAATGGAGATACTGCTGCAAAAGTTGAAGAGGACGAACCAGTGGAAGTGAGGCCTTCGCTGGAAGAACCAGTAACTCCCGATGCTACTAAAAGGGTGACCATACAAGCTAAAGAATATCCATCTCCAAAAAGTCCAGTTATGATACAACGTAAGCTTGATGACGACGGCAGAGTCGTCGTAACGCCGTCCAGCCCGGATAACTAACTTATAGGTATACATACGCCTCAGTATTTTAACCATAATGTAATGTGATAACGTTTTTTTTAACTTATACGATGCGGTTATAGACTGTGAGGACCGTTCATGCCATATTCAATGGATATGCTTACGTTCGTGATAAGTATTGGAAGACGGGGAATTCCTCGGTTTACCGTTCGTTTATTGACTAGAATTTTAAGAAAAACATAAAACGAAATAATGATAAAATCTTATTTTTTTAAGTGTTACATTTGCGATTTCTTTTAAAATTTTTTTGACCATCAAACAACAAGGAAAAAGTTATTTCTTAGACTTTGTTGTATTCGAAATTTTTAAACTTAATCAAAAGCAAATTTGAAATTACTTTTTTTAATATCGTTAAAACCTTTTGGACAATTCTATCTTATCTCATTTGTATTTTGTAATTAAATTCAAAGGATTAACGTAATACCGTTCTCTATTTTTTGCTACGTCAATTTTCATTTTTTAAGTACTATTTTGAAACGTTCAATTAATTCTTTTTTTATTAATTTTTTATATTGTTTATAAGGTTAAAAACGTGTTTATTTCGACACACGGAATGAAAGAATTTGGTTTCGGAGATCATTTTTTATCGGATTATTTTAATGCGACTTTAATTTAGATAACCTCTTCTAAATTAATTACAGAATTTAAATGTTCAAGTTCAAACATTTTTTTTTAATATTATTTTTTTAGTATGTCAAGTTAGTTTTTAATTTATTACTATCCATTTATTAATTGTATGCGAAATTATTATATATTAATGGTTTTTTACTTTGGATAACGATACAATAAGACGTCATTTGAATTAATTTAGTTTTAAAAATATTCAAGGTCATTATGTTTTCATTTGCATTTTCCCAGTAATTGTATTAGAAAAAATATTTTTTTTAAATTAATTTTATAAAAAATTATTTTATTAGATAGGAAAAAGCCAAGATTTTATCATAATTTCAAGTTAATATGAAGAAAAATTACTGAGAAAAGAAACATATTTACTTACTACTTTCCTAGTTACTATTAAGCGTTTAAAAGCATTGTTGCCAAAGTAAAATTAGTCTTGAAGGATAATATTTATTTTATTATTATTATTTTTTTTTGGTGAAGTACTGTTTTCGCTGTATATACAAATAGGTACTATTGTTGGAAAAATTCCTCGACATCACAGCGTTTACCGAGCAAATTTTCCAACTAAACTGATTCCTACTAGTTCTGTTACAATTTTTTTTATCCATGTTCATAGTTTATTGCGTTAGTACGAAAATTTATAATAAATCGTAATCACGTAAACCACCTTGACTTTTTCTTTCACCCCGTTCCCATATTAAATATAAAATTTGAATTTAGTTCAAGAATTATTTTCTCGAAAACTAAGTCCTATATAAAAACGGAAGTTTAAATGTTGATAATGTTTCAAAATGACGCATCTCTTCACTTTCAAAGATAATCCTGTCGTTGAACTCATTTTAAAGGACTTTTTATTATCTATAAGAATATTTTATTTTTAAATTATCTTTTACAATTATTTTAATTTTTTTCAAGTTTTGAGTATTACCATGGAGGTTCATGTAGTAATATAGACTCCATTGAGTGTTGTAGAGATAAATAGACTACATTAATTATTGCCCTAAAGATCATGTAATCTAGGCTGAACGTTCCATAACGTTTTGAGGAAATCGTTATGGAACATAAGGCTGCATAGAATGTTTTCTGCGATTTTGGTCTTGACTCAGTACTTTACAGTAATTAATCCGACTGAATCTGTCTTTCTAGGATGCTCGAGTTGCTCTTGTGATCAAGGTAAGTAACTTTGCATAAAATTCACATTTAACAACATACTAATATATATTGTACATATTAATATATAGTATATATTGACTTGGAATTATTACTCAGGAAGGTTAAGTCTATATCAGATCAGTTTTCGATCTCTGACCATGGCACAGTAGTCTTGTCCGTTGTTCTTACTTTGGTCGTCCATGCCTGAGATAGTCTCGATGTTGTCTGATTTGACCACCCTTTAGTGAAAACTATACAAAATCTAGGACCACCTTTATCTAAAACTTTGTTGTGGAGATCAATATGATAACATAAGTTGGATTGGGTTAGGTTGGACGTAAATTTCAACCCAATTTATTTAATATTAAATAAAATAATTTAATTAATTTAATTATTTTATCCATAATATATATATAAATTTAAAATTGTAGTAATAAATAAAAAAAGATAAAAAAAAGTTAACTTGTATTAGTTAATAACAATAGTATAAGATAAGACAAATAAAATTTTTGCTTTAGAGGACCACAAGTTTAGTTGGGTGCCACTTTTGCGACATCAATACCGCTTATCTTATCAAGAAACGCTCTTCTTTCAGCCGGCTTTACATCACCCAGAGATAGCGTTTCTTTAAATACATAATAATACCTAGATAACATCGCTTCGCTCACGAGTTCATATGAAAATGCTTAGCCACATTTTTTTTTGTGAAATGACACGACGTTAGTATGATTTGAGTTGTTGACCTTCCTTAAAACGATCGCGTTTATCTACGGGGAAATTTAATTCTCCGTACGTCAGCCCTGATAAGTTTCGTGTAATTATAGATTTTGCACGTAATACTTATAAATCCCTTACGCCTTAAAAATTTTTTTTGTGGTGTGACATTTGCTCACATAATTCGATTATCACGATTTTAAATTGAAATGTTTGATTATTACTACTGTATGCGTCAATATTTAATATTTTCGTAATAAATTTTCTTCAAATTATAAATTCGATGTTAAATTTTTTTCCTAGTGATGACGTTAACATCTATAAAGTAATGTCAATATTTGTTTTTTTGTTAAGTTTTCGTATGATCTAATCTTAAACATATAATAAATATGTGCATACATGTTTAATGATAGTAATATAAATTTAGTAATTTTTATTAAAATTAATCGACTTTTAACTAATTAATAAATAATTAATAACCATATCGTCCGAGTTGCAAAGCACATTAGCGTTTTATTACTTAATAGAACGAACGACCTTGTCTAGTATAATTTAAACAAAAGATTCATTGAACGAATTGAGGTAGTAATGAGTAATGGGAGGCAAAGTACGATATGAATATAATGTTATCGGGTTCGAAAGTCAAAAATCATTTTCAAAGAGTGGGTTACTCACTACAATAGTTCACCCCACACTCGAACATTTATTATTATTTTTTTACTAAATAATTTATGTCAAGATAATTGTAGTTTCGTAAGTGTAATTTTGAGAAATGACGTGAACTCCGGTTTTAACGATGGCAGTTTGGACTAATCATCGATACTTAAGCGGCCGTTAATTCCAGATACTAGAATAGAAAAAAAAACAACAATCGGCCATTCAGAGGCCAGATAAAATGGGTCAACGGACAACGATCGAAAAGGCCGCCGCGTCCGTCTTTGTCCGGTGCGTTTTGCATTTTCTCTTCGCAGAAGAAAGTTCGCACAAATACAAACAGTTCCTTCCCAATTGAGTTTCTATGCGCACAGGCCCTGTTTGATTTTGGATTCAAATATCGGCCCGAACCTCGTTTGTTTTGCGATAAGATAGTGCTATTACCTTTATTATTTCAAATATTTGATTTTGTCTCGATAAAAATTTCTCTTTATAACCGAAATATTCAATGAATACATTCAAATTTAAATATTATTCAAAAGATATTCCCACGAAACCTTTACTTAATTATTGCAGTTACTTACAACACTTATATAAAGGAGATATTATATTATTCTGTTATAAACAGTTTTGTAATGGAATTGGCAAATGTGATAAAAGTTGTGAAACTACGACACTATCTACTTGCAAATGTTTCTTCATATCTTACTGTTTTTCAAATATCTATCGTCTTAGTTTTTCTTTACAACTACGTTTTACTAAGATAATTAAATTCAATTCAAAACAACAAAATTTAAAAAAATGTTTTAAATAAAATCAATTTTATTCTAAACAGTTTATTTATTTCTTGGGGATTAGGTTTGGCTACATTGGTATTGGCCAAATTGGGTTGGATTAATTGCTTTGGGGTTGAGTAGTTTAGGATTTTGCATCCAAGTGACCAAGTTGCACCAATTTAGAGGTGCTCGCAGTTGTTACATTAAGCAATAATTCTAGTAAAAGAGATCATAAAGCTGCTTATAAATGGAAAAGGATATAAAAAAACACAAGGCAGAAAAAGCTTGATGAAAGAGTTCTATTTCTTTCTGCCATAATCGCTACAACATATGTACAAAGGTCCACTACTCTCTATCATTTTGCCTACATCCCTTGGTGAATTAGACCAACACTTTTGCCACATGCAAAAATTTTTTTGATTTTCTTTAAGTCATTTTAACACATAAAATACGATTCATTCCTCATTGAGCTTCCTACTTTTTCATCACCTCCACTACTGTTGATTAATATCACTTATGTTGCTTAATAATTGAATTTGGAAATAACTCAAAAAATAAAAAAAAATACAGATTATATTAATTTATTCGTTATACAAACCTACATTTTTTTAAATACAATTAAGAATCCTACAAATTAATTTTAAAAATTATACGTCACTCTCAAAGTAACCGCCTCTTGAAGTTGAAGTGTTATTGTTATGCTCACTATCCGAATCTGTGGTTCGTCTAAGATCGTCTGCAGATGCAGCACGTCTTCTCCGTCTTCTCCTTTTCTTACCACCTTTTAAATCAGTACTGCTCCCTCCTAAGCTGCCTTGACTCCCTCCTATTAAGCTACCTTGAGAGATGTTTAATTTGGGTAGGCTTAAAGCTTCGGCGTAAGATGGTGGATTTTGTAATTCTCTTGGATCGGGAGCGTTGGTGGATTCTGTCATTCTAGCTTCTCTTTCTTGTTCTCGCATTCTTTGTAATCTTTCTCTGGCCTCTATGATGTTTTGTTGTCTTTCTCTTATTTCTCTGTTTGCGCGTCTTTTAATATTTTTTTTGATGGAAATGATTACGCAAAAGAAGGCGACTAACATTAAAAGGATGATGATGCTGTAAATCCATGTTTTGTCTGCTCTATGGTTCCACGATTCATAACAAGCCACGCCCCACCTTTGACCTTGTACGTTTTCCGGTGATTGACAAAGTAGGTCGTGAATTGATGTTGTTACTGACCCGCTGGTTAGCCAATAATAAAAGTCTTTAAAATCGGAATTGCCACAATCACATCTCCAGGAATTATCGCTAAGGTATAATTCAACGATGTTGTAAAAATAAGACGGTCTGACGTCCGAAATGAGTCGGTTTCCCCTCATGCTGAGTTTTCTCAGCCTAGGCATTGTTGCAAAAGTGGCGTTTGTGATCCTACTAATTCTGCAGGAACTTATATCGAGAGTTTGGAGACTGTTAGTTTCTAGAAAATCTGGAATAGCTCGAATATCGTTCGAGGATAAATCTAAATATTCTAAAGACGGCATTTGTCTTAAACTGTCTCTGTTAAAGTTTACGATTTCGCAATTGCTTAAGACTAATCCTCGAATGGATTCGCTGTCTAGTTTGATCACTTCTTTTAAATAATTGTAGGATAATCTCAAGAGGATGAGACGAAAGTTTGAATTGAACGTCCTGGGGTCTAAGTCTGTGATTACGTTGTAGGATAAGTCGACGTATTGTATGTTTTTGACGCCATAAAAGGCTTCTGGGTCGACATCCCTGATTTTATTATAGGATAAATCGATGTCGTTAACATTTTCCATACCACTGAAAGCTTTCGCTGGCAAACTTCTAATTACATTCTCTCGGAATATTACATATTTTAATTTTGGGAAATATCCTCTAGGAAGAGAGTCCAAACCGCATTGAGTTGCATTTATATGTATTAAACTAAGTGATTTTCCATAAAAGAACTTTAAGTGGTTATTATACGGTAGCTTCAATTTCTGTAAAGCTGTTAATTGAGTAAATGGATCAAAAATTCTGTGCAACCCAGAATTTGTTAAATCTAAATTGACTAATGTGGTTGATGTAAGAGTAGAATTAAGCACTGTGATGTTATTGTATGATAAGTCTAAAGTTATTATATTAACAAGTCCGTTTAATATGTTTGAATGTAAACTTTGAATAGAACAATTAGCCAGTGACAAGTTCTTTATGGAATCACTAATTAAATATCTATCTTCAAAATTTCCGATGTCATTAAAATCGTTGCTTCTTAGCGATAAATCTTCTAAAACGGGGAGCTTTTGAAAGGAACGATGATCCAGGTCCATCCACGATGTGAACTTGTTAAAACTTAAGTTAATCTTCTTCAGTCTTTGATTATTAGCCAAATCAAACTCGGTTAAAGTTCCAATATTATTGTATGACAAATCCAAGTGTTCGAGTTTTTCCAATCCATTTAGATTTGGTGGTATGCTTTCCAGCTGGTTCTTAGACGCATCGAGAAACGTTACCTGGGAAACAATTCATTGTTAATTTTTATCGATAAAGAAGGCGAGACATCGAGCTGACCAGACGCGAATCAAGGTTGACATTTTTAAATCAATTTGTTTTACAGGGACGGAATAACAATTAAGCTTAATTGGGCGTAATGAAAGCAATTGAATAAAATATCTAGCACGTCCTAACCTATCTATAGGCTCGGGTTATTTTTTATTATTGTCGACTTAGCCGAGGATAATACAACTGTGATTCATACCTCACCGTCTAGATTTTCTGGAAGCTTTGTTAGACCTCTATCGGAACAATCTACGTATGTATTTTCGTGGTAACAATAACACTCGCTCGGACATTTAGAATCGCCCAACTTAGCAAACCCCACGATGAGAAGAATCATCCATAACCGGTCCATAACCGAACCTAAATCCTTCAGAGCTCAATTTAATACTATTTATGGATGATTATGATTATTCATAAAACATATTTGTGTAAATACCAGGAGATCGATTTAGGCGTTACATTTTTCGACTACCTTGTACTGCACTACCATTTCTACTACACAAAAGATTACTACTTTATCTATGATCAGATAAGGTTTATCACGCCAATTAAACCGTAGGATTCAGTGACCTAATCTCACATGTTTACTAACGTTTCAAACATCCACAGGTTAATTTGTAAACTTTAAGAATTTCTTCACCAGGTGTTTTATTTTATAAAAAAATATTTTGTTACAAAATTATTTTGTTGCATAACGATGTGAGATCTAATACTTCCACGCCCTTTTTGATTAATAATCTTATCTATATCTTAGAATAGATTAAATTCAAATTCTTTCAAAGAAGACATAACAAAAAAATAATAATAATATATAAAAAAGACAGTGTAATATTAAGTACAATAATGGCAATACAATATTAGGAAAGTTACTAAAGTTACACTTATGACATAGTGTGTTAATTAATTATCGTACCCGAAGTCATCATTGCAAGTATGCAACCAAATACGCAAATCGCGTATTGCAATACTAATACTGTGATATTGGTTGCATACTTGTAATGATGACGTCGGGTACGATAATTTATTAATATAATATATATAATATTAATGGTTAAGGAAAGAAATGATTAAAATCTTCCATAAAGTATTAAATACAAGATGCGAAATAGTTAGATGCAACATATGTTGTGGTTCTGAGGATATACCTGGATACCTCAAGATCTTTTATACAGCGCATTAATGCTTGTAGAAGAGAAAATGGGCGGAATTTTGAACTTCTAAATATTAATTAAACTAATACCTACTTATAGCAACGTTTAGTAATTGTATTTGCTTCAAATAATTTAGTAATTAAAAAAGGCATTTATTGTTATGCCATTTAATTGTATTTTTATCACGTTTTGATTATTTATTTATTAAAATTTTTCTTAAATTGTATTTTAATATAATATTACTGATTTACAAATGACAGACAAATAGAATGTAATATATTCTGTCACTTTTTTAAGTACAATAATGACATTTTATTACACATTTTTCTTTAAATTCTAAATATTAGGAAAACTATTGAAGTTAGACATATGACATAGTTATCATTAATTAAAGGGAACTTGACGAGCAATTCAACTAGCACACAATACACAGGTGTTCCATTTAAAAAACTTAAGAAAAAGCCATTTGAAAAACATCAAAAGTAACTAAGCTTTATAAACACGCTGTATAGTGTATCTAATATCTTTGAATACTACCAGCTACCTAGTGGCTTTGACTATTGTCTGACGTAGTTTCAAGGCAAAATCGAAAAAAATGTCGTTTTTGACATATTTTATTACACATTTTTTTTTTAATTCTAAATATCAGGAAAACTATTAAAGTTAGGCATATGACGTACTTATCATTAATTAAAGAGAACTTGTTGAGCAATTCAACTAGCATACAATATACAGGCTGTTCCATTTAAAAAACTTATGAAAAAAACATTTGAAAAACATCAGAAGTTTTATGAACACGCTGTATAGTGTATCTAGTGTATACATGTATACTTGTATATATACATAAATATATTTCATCCACACTAATTAGTCATAATTATTTATTGTTATCCTAAGTCAAAGATAAAAGTAATTGAATAAATAAAAAAATGAGTAATAATTACATAAAAGTGCATTATGGTTTAAAGCATTACTTCAAGGCAAAAAGCATATTGATAACGTATAATGCGATGTTGAACGGAAGTGCAAACGGCGTAACATAGAATTGATGAGTTAGAGTCTTGAATTTGATAACCTTTTGGAATGTAATAAGAATAAGTCAAGGTTTGTCGACGTTTCTCGCAAATATCTGTAAAAAGTGTTTAAAAATAGCGTTAATTGGATGTTTGGTACAATCGAAAGTGCGGCTCAAGGTCGTAAATGTGCAAGTTTGTGGCGACGGTTAATGCCGAAACCGGTGGGTTTCGTGGCGTCTTAGGTTTCACGAGCAATTGCGTCGCGACGGGGTTTTCGGATAAGGCAAATGGGATACGCGGAGTGGACAGCAGGAATCGAATTTGCTTGAAAATCGGCCGGATCAGTTTCGGCGAGGTCCATCCGTACGTGCAGGAAGATGCTGATGCTGGCTTATTGCAAATTGACTCCTGCGGACGCGATCTCGTTACGTCACGAAGTGGACAAACATATTTCGAACCTTGAACGAGAGGACAACGGTTTTTTTTATCGACTTGGACGTCATTTAAACTTAATTACCTACGTTTTTCATGCGCACATATATACGTATTTCCACGGCCATCACAACATGATGTCCATACTTGAATACTAAACCGTATAAGGTTCCTTGCTAATAAACAAATTAGTCATTTATCTTATTTAATTGTTATTTTTATTACAAGTTGTAAAAGATAAATGTTTGTAATGAATGTAAAGAGGTTAGTTAGGAGTTTAGTTCGATTAAAAGCTTCTGTAACAAGTTGGCGAGTAAAGGTGGTTGCAGGAAGTAAGAGGAGAAGGAGGAGAAGGTGGGGTCTCCTGGCGAGATATAAAGTTAATTATGTTCTAATGGGGATTTATAGAAACGTTTAAGCAGGGGCAAGGTCCATAAATCGATTTAAGCGTCTTCAACTTGTAAGAGGCGGTCGCGTGACGATAATCCGCACATCGCATAAATATGATCAAGTGTGAAGCTTTCCTGCGAACCAGTAAGCCGGGCTTATAGTTTGCTATGTCCCCGGTGAACAGCTGAGGCGACAGCCCGGTACTAAAAACGAACAACGAAGTTCGGCCCTAAGTGCGTATCGATTGGGTCAAGTAGACTTGGAGTTTTCTGATTATAATAAGACAAGAAAGTGCACGTCGCCGATTTTGGTTACAAATTCGTAATAAATATTAAAAGGTCGGAGGAGTAAGGTAAAATATCCTAAAGCGCGGTTCGAAAAGAATGGAAAAGGGCACTGACGAGGTCTGAGGGACGGTATGGGGGTGGCTTGGGGGGCGATGTGCGGACGGCGCGGAGTCCCGAAGGGGGGTAATCTCTTGTTTCGCTGCGACTTTATCTGGGGCTTGATCTCTCTTGCCGTGGAGGACACGGGGTTGACAAGTAGAGTAGCTTTTGGAGCGATTTCAATTGAACCGCAAACAACCGAGCTAAAGGGAGAGAGATCGGGGATGGTGGAATAGGGGGATTGGGGAGATGGAGCAAAGCGTCTCTTTCATAATTGGCGACGTCGTTAGCCCGTAGATGGCACAGACGTTGGCGTGCGTGGTCAATTGAAGGAAGCTAACTTTGGTATTAATATGCTCAATACATCAAATGCGTCTTTAAGGTCGCAAAGTGAACAAGCTTTCAACTAATTATACCGTCCGAAGTCTAAACCGATGACCGCCATTTGGCGGCGGCGGCGGTGGCGCGCGAACATAAAAGGGGCACCACCGTCTCTTTACCCCTCTATGTTGCGGCCGTGTAAAAGGTCAATTCGCTGGAGCCAATTATGGAACCATGCTAAGCGAGCGTTTCACCAAATTAATCTTTTCCAACATAGTGGCGAGAAACCGCGACCGACCTGTTGCTTCCTTCTACTCGGTTTATCCAAATTTAAAACGGTTAACCCCTCGCATCCCACCTTACGGCCTACTAATTGTTTCAAACTGCCAAATTAAACCCGCTTTACACCCGTTCTCAGAACAACCTACTTTTACAGTTATTACCCCATTTTCCTTCTCGTTAACGACTATTTACTTCATTAATTATTACTTAATCTATATTACATTATTCTATGAGCAAAATATTGTGGTTGGCGTTGTATGCAGAAAAATATAGATGAAAATCTATCTGGAAGAAATTGGTAAAAGATATAAAGAGGGGAATGGGGTTGGTTCTAAACGATCGTCCTAAAAATAAATACATTTAGGAGCGGTTGTCGCATCTGGCAAGGCGATGTCGGAGGAGCGGGTGAATCGGTGTGGCGAGGGTGACGGGGGTTGGGCTGGGGTGGTGGTGGAAAGGGGTAGCAGCGTCGGGACGTCGATCTCAAGATGCATGGCCTATAGAATCTTAATTAATTTCGCCTCGGTAATCTCCGGCAATTAAAGGGCAATTTCTTGCGAAACATAAAGGATTTTTGCGAGGCGCCCCAGTCGCAAAACGGGTTCGCCCGGAAATACGGCCATAACTCATCTATCCTATAAGATTACTGATCTTTAATCCCCTTCCTTGGCCGGGCGGCTCTCTCTTTAGCGGGCCGGCTCCTAAAAGTTGAGATTTACGGCGTTCTTGGAATTATATTGTTGGCTTGCACGGTGCCGTCGCCCGCGGAGGGCGGCAGGCGGCGGGCGGCATTCGAAGGGCGGGCGCTCGACGCCCGACGTCGGGACGCTGGGTGGGGGCGCGTTACTTCGTGGGGTCCCGTGCAGTTAGCTAGGAATTATTATGATATATCTAGACGAAATCGCTACCACCTAGTATACGGTGTCATTAGATAGAGAGAAGAAGAGAAGAGAGCTCCGGTGCCGTAGCTTATCTTATACACACCAACTGGGCCGGTCGCCGTTGGCGGCAACGGTGGCGGCGGCTGCGGCAACGGCGGCAGCGTCGGCGGCTCACGCGGTATTACCTCAGATAGGGTGGATATAAAATATGGCGTCCTTTCATGAATCTTATTAAGATATCCGCAACATAGCGCGATACCAGAGAGGCCCGCGAACTTATGAAGAAAGGAGTAGGTGTATAATCCTTATAGCTACACCGCTATATATCACGTTAAGTCCTGCAAGGAAAACAGGATAGATATTTATAAGTTACGGCCCGCAGTCTCTGCGGACTGTTTATTTAACTCAATAATCGTATATCAACCCTGGAGTATGACTCCCAAGGTATATATACGGCCCCCGCCGTTGCTTACTTCTTACTTCTTCTGCCCGCTTACCGCTACCGAGCCGAATAAATCGCCCTTTTTATCTTTTATGAACCGCCGTAAAAATATAACCGGGTTTTTGTTATTTGACCTTTCTTCTTCTCGTCTCACGATTAGCAACAACAATTACATCTCCATTCGT